GAAGAGCTGCAGATTATGAAAGTTCGCGGGCGAACTGTACAGCATAGAGCAAAAGAAATCATGAATATGGGGGAGAGATCCTAGGACCTAGCATACCTTTGGGGTGATGTTGTGGCCGAAGATTCGTGTCTGAGATAGCGTCATGCGCGGCAACTACCAGGGACTGGGGTGTACATCCTGAAGCCCTCTTTGATGCAGGCAAGTTCGCAAGGGAGCTCCGCCGTGACAGATTGAAGATTGATGTCTGCTTCGGAGTGCTACCTCATGGGTGAGTCTCTGCACTGCGGCTGGGATGTGAAGGGGAGAGTAGATAACGCTTGAAAGCGACGTGACCGGGGACTCACTGCCGGCCATTATCAGCATGTTTACATTTCCTTCGAGCTCTGGTTTAATTAAACTGTATTTTTCGCCGTGGTGGCGCAGTGTCGAGTCTATGAAGTCGCTGTGATTGTACTTTGAGGCATTGCGAACCTCTCAAAGCGATGCAGCTATGCAGGCAAGAACGGGTTTGAGAACGGCATGGGCATTCACAGCATTGATGAAGGGATCACCTCAATGGAGTTTAGTCTATTTGATCCCCTCAGTGTCCAGGGCTCAGAGCGGTACATTCGAGAGGTTTAACCCGACTCCTCTACTCGGTATTAATACGAGAAGACTACATATTTAGGGAGAAATGGAACAGAAACAAAGCACCGGAACTATGTTGCAGTAGCAGGCCCTAATTATCACTTTGAACACATAATTCAGGTTGAGGCAGAGAAAGACAGCCGGAGAGGAAAGAGCAAAACCAAGAGTCATGGGAAAGGTTGCAAAACGTAAGGAAGGATAAGCGCGAGTCTGTCGGTAGGTTCAATATATGCTGGTCACTGAGAGCCGATGGTTTAAAAATCACTATCACACGATGGCCGACATGAGTTCAAACTGTTGTTCCACGTTAGAGAAAATGGAAAGCATTGCACTCTGATTTGCTGCTATAGCCCACATCTTACAGCAACGTAATAAAGACTCCAACCTCTTCGCGTAGAGTCTGATCAATGTTTTGACCAACGGTGCCCATTCTGAAGGCTGAACTTCATAATCACCAAGGAACAGTCTTCGCTCGGTGTTCGTACTGTCCACAGAGTACCTGCTGGAGGTCGATGCTGAGCCTTCGGATCTCACCAATGACGAGCTTGGTTGACCATCACTAGAGCTTGCATGAGGGTCTGAGTGAGCTTGGAATAGTCCTTTCTCCTGGCATACCCTTACTAGGTCTGTAAACTTCATAACCAGTTTCTCTAGTATTAGGCCAAGGAGCATCATCCTCTCAGAGGATAGTCGACAGTAGCTGCAAGCAATAATTCTTGCACACTTTTCCACTGCCCGTCGCTGAAAGGATAAGGCTAACTCTATCGAAGATTGTTCCAGAGTTTCCAGAGTATTGTCCTTGAGCTCTATCTTCTCGAGGATATATGTGAGCTCTCTCCAGCATTGGCAGACATGATCTGGGTCGTGAATATTCTGCATAGTGTTCCCAGCAGCAAGTGTCACTATTTGATCCCGGGCCGGTATGAAAGAACGACCAGGCCTGTTACGTTGGTCAGGGTTAAGTAGTCCGTTATTGAGGATATGGCTCTCCGTAAGTAGCTTTTGAGGCGGTTGAACAGTTTGCTTGATCTCTGTAGTAGCTGCGAGCATTTCAAAACTATTTAGAGCGATATCATCGAGGTCGGAGCTATCGATAGCTGTCGAGGAGATTAGAATTTAGCATGCACATTACATAGTGATTACCTACCAAGAGAGTGGTCATGCGCTTGCAGACAGCTACTGCTTGATATAAAACCGATTCCATGCCCATGAATATCCAATGTCGAGCATAGTCCTCGGGTGTGCCCATCATTGCCTCCATGGACCGGGTTGCGTTGCAGAAGTTCATGGTCTAAAAACGGATATAAGCTAGGGAGGGCCTCTGGACTCTGCCCCTCAAGTATCCAGTCCTGCGCTGTTGTTTGTGCGGACTCTCCAAGCCGACCAGAGGGTACCCGTCGATCCCCTGATGTCATGGTTTCGTTCGTACTGGAAGCCATGTTTATGAATAGGCCTGAATAGGGAAAGTCCTCAATCAGGTTTGAGCACGTAGCTAGCTCGTGTATGTCGATCTGTAAGTGATCGTCATGCAAACTCGATGGTAGCGAGACATCGGTTGGCGGATCGAGGGAGTCATGGGATACGCCTAGGGTCAACGATGACTGAGCAGATACTTCAGGCTGTCGACCTGTACTGCTTGCTCTTTCCTTCCGTCGAGAGGCCCTTCTCACAGTACGTCCCACACTCCGATGACGGGTGCATGCAGTGTCTTGATCCTGGCAATTACCGCATGGGTTCTGTCGATCACATCTAACCTATGATGAATCAGTCGAAAGGGAAAGGCTCATTAAGACAGACGAGAAGCCTTTAATGCATACCTTCCTGGTATTACAGGCGTCACACTGTTTAGTGTTGTTAGAAGGGGTCAAAATCGACAGAGATCCAGGAAGAAGCTCGTACCACTCGGAGCATCAGGGCTGGCTGCCCGTCAAGCAATGAAGTCTCCATACTAGAAAGAAGCTGAAGCTAGACAGATTTCAGAAGCAGGGTACCAAGCGCTCGATTATGTGGTCGCAAATGTTGAATATCACATTTTACATTCGACCTTCGAAAGGTTTATCTACATTTTCACATTGTCGGAGATATACAATAACGTAGCTCTATTAGCGCCATGCAGATTATAGTATGTCGATCTATTAGGTGAAATGAGGGAGACGATTGTCAAATGATATTAATAGCAAAATGGCCAATACGTCGCCTGGAAGGGCTGGCTCCGTCCCCTTCGGACCCTTGCTCCACTAGGAAACCCTAAGTCTCTGCGCCACCTTCTGGTGGCTATGCAGGCAATAACCATCTCAAGCAAGAAGAATGGAACTCAGATTCTATTTTTGCTCAAGGTACCACCATGTAGTCTTAATTTCATGCACAATGCTATCTTCAACACCAGCAAACTTTATGAGTTCCGACGGATGTGCTGTTGAATAATAGTTGGAACACCTTACCGGGTTCAAATATCAGACGTGTATTTAAAAGCGACAGAAAAGCTACTAGGATATATCTACAATTGATGAGAATTACTCAACAGTTGTATTAATGTGAGCCTCACTTGGGTCTCTAAAGAATACTACGTGCAGTGTTCAAGTATCTTAAAAAAGGGAGCAAATATCACGCGCCAGCTCTGCGTAAGGAATAATAGCACTAACAAATGGAAATACGATATTGAAGTGATATGGGATTATTCGAAATGATAAGTTGTAGCTGTTACACAGATGGGCTGGTGCTCTTCTCAATATATGAGTGTATAGCAGGGTCTTGTAAGGCTGGCCCAGCTTTAATGTAATATTGATATATGGTTCTAGACAGTGGTTGCTCAGGAGCTCCAAGGCTGTCAGGCTCTTGGTGGACCACTGTCCTGAGTTGGCTAGGTGTTGCATCTTACTTCCCGTCTAGTCATTTCTATAACGAAGAGCTTGAGTGACTCTAAACGGAAAAGGCCAACTGTAATATGGGGTTGACGGATGGCTAAGTTATATCGTGGAACGAGAGACACTACATATGACATACCAGAGATATTATAGTAGCAATAGGTGGTGTGGCAACCAGTCTTCTTTTTTCACCTATTTTATGTTTCTGTATTGTGTCTTGGTAAATGTCTCTCATGTCTATAGAGGAGTGTACATTGTTCTCATCAAGACAAAATCAATCAAAGATAACGCATACGTGAACTACCACCATGCCAATTCTTTCTCACCTCTATAATTCTCATGGGGGATCTATAGTGAGAATTACCGTGAAGTAATTAAATGACAAATAATACACCACAAACTAGGAGTTGTCGCATTACAGACATTCAACGTCTGGAGATCGCAGGCAGCGGCATGTTCCGTTGATCTCGACGGGCCCCTGAGGATTCCATGGATATCTGTGGTCATTTTGCTCAGCACAATGCTGAATCGGCCAGCAGCCTTGAAATAACCCAAGACTACAAAAGCACAGCTGAGATGCTCAACAACTTTAACAAAAGGCCAAGCTCTAAATGAATCTAATCGGTGGATCACAGGCTCGAGAGTGTCTTACTTTAATCACCAGATAGATAATAATAGTCCTGATAATTTAGGTGGGTCTCTAGACGCCCTGTAGAGTTGAAACGTAATTCAATACGGAAAGTAGATAAAAATAGTCGGCGACAAATGGCTCTCGATCATTTCTACCAACCTAAGACCTGAAACGAAGAGAATTCCCCCCTCATACCACGTGGTGGTTAAATGTACTTCCTACTCACAAACACGGCTTTACTTCTTGATGTAATCACTCCTAGAATGCAAGCTAGTAGTAAAAAAGGGTTGGTTATTGGAGTGAACTGCACATCGAAATTGCCATTTGTTGCGGATATATAGAGCAAGAAAATGCTTTATAGACTGTAGCCATTCACAATAAAAGACCCAGTTAACCAACCCCCAACCGTTCATGTTTTCGTATTAATTTCTATCATCTAGGACCCATAGTCTTGCCAGAATCTGAAGCTTATCTCATTGGTGCGAGGATCTCAACCATATCTGGTTATTAGGATCTTCGAAGGATCCAGCCGTGAGACCGCGGGAGAATTGCGTTCCGCTTAGTAACAAGTTCCGCTTAGTAACATCATATAGAGACAAAAACGAACTATGAGCTTCGCTGTCAGTTCAAAATGGTATCCGTGAGAAGCACATGGATATGGCCCAGTGGCTTAGATACAAAGTGAGACAGGTAGTTGTCTGCACAGCTGGGCTTCTTGGTCTCATTCGAATGGACCTGGAATATAAAAAGCCCATACACCAGTGGAACATGAAAACATTCCGGTCGAGGAACTACAGACACTGGCTCCATACAAGATACCGAAAATATTTATATCGAAGAGGGGTGAATGCCTAGACACTCAACCAGAACAGGCGGTTTGACTCTATTAAGCCCCGTATTCGAAACCAGTGGCAATATTCCTGCTATGTATAAGTTCACAAGCTTGCTGGGCTGTAGTGTCTGCCTCTATGGCAGATTACTCAGAAGAGTGCTGCTTCTTCTACTAGTCCTCCCCTCCTGCGTGGCTTGTAGTTGGATATTTTCATCGGGAAGGATAGCAGTACTATTAATGGCCAATTCAAAACCCCCTGTAAGCTAATGTGAAGCTGCTTTAGAGGCAATAAAGGACTTTGCAGTAATCTAGATCATGCCATGAACAAATATCTCATGAATGCCCCAGGATTCGTTGAACCATAACTCCAACAGTCCTCGACGGTAGAAGGCTTAAACGTGAGACTGGACATGTTTGCTAGGACCTCGTTATCTATTGATAGGCACTGGTCGTTGATTCTTCGTTTTGAGAATACCCAAGAAATTTAGCAATTAACACAGGAAGCAGCACCACGGATAGCATTTGTCCAAAAACAACGCGGCCTTTCCTTTTCATTGTTATGCCTCATTATCTGAGAGTCTAGACTATGAAACATATTTCTGAAAGGTTGGCGGCCGCTCATCTGGAGCCGCTGAATTCATGTGGCACGCTCCTTAATAATACATCTTCTAACGATCATACAGTTGTATATTGATTGATAGTCCTTCCGCCGATTTCGGTGCCCATAACCGCTTCTGGGTGGAGGTAAGTCGGACTCGATGACAAGACGGCATTTGTACTGGATTATTGAACGTGAAAGTACGGCAATGTCTATCAGAAGATTGCAAAGCTGTTTGTAACTACTATCATGATTACAGGATGTATGCAAAACTGGCACTTGTTCAATAATGAAAACCCAAAAAGGCTCTATCGTAACGTAATGCAGCTTTAGAGACACTAGAACTCTTGGCCTTCTATATGCAGCATTGCTCGCGGTGCTGGTAGGAGGCTGATACCTCCACTCATTCATTCGACCATTTTCTAGGTCTCTAGACATTCTCTGTCAGAGAACATGACAAGAGAGCCATCATGCATACTCTCTTTGCTCTGTATCCACCTTCTTCTCGAATCCCTCTATATCCAACGTAGACACATCCCCCTTGGGAAGATCCTTCGCCATAGCTACAATATGCCACATAGACGGAGCATCACGAAACACCTGATTCAAGGACTCGAGATTGCGACCCATTGTTTCAGGATAGAACAGATATACAGACACGGGGATGCACGCTGAAATAACCGCGTACACGATATAATACTGATACCCGATAGTGTCAAGCGCAACTGGGGTGATCATCACCACGATAAAGTTCCATAGCCACTTGTTCGCCGTAGACATGGAGGCCATGGCGACCCGTAATTGGATAGGGGCGACCTCAGTGCAATAGAGGAAATTTGCACCCGAAAACCCAATGGGGTAGAACAGGTTGAACAGCCAGATAAAGGCCACAGAAAGAACTGACGCGGTCTTGTTGCTGGTGTCGAAGCTGGTTGTAATTGCCAGGACGGCCATGCAGATGCACATTCCTGTCCCACTGAATATAAAGACCTTGCGACGACCGAGACGATCGATGGCAAAAAAAGGGATAAAGTTGCACAGAAACTTCCATGTTAATGCGCTGGAGGCTAGGATGCGAGATAGGTCACTGCCGAGTTTGAGATTCTGCTCGAAGATGGTTGATATATATGTTGAGATTAGGTTGCCGCCGCACATTTGTTGAAAGAATTGGATAGCCATGCAAAGAGCGAAACGATAAAAAAGACGGTCTTCGTTGTGTCGGGAGAATACTTCGCGCAGTGTGATACGGCCGGATTGCTCCGTCAGCTCTAACGCGGACTCGATGCTTGCAATTTCTGCTTGGATGGATTCATCATCTACCGGGAGCCCTCTGTAGGCTGCTAGACTGCGTGCGGCGTCGCCTGGGCGGCCTACTAAGACCAGCCAGCGCGGGGATTCTGGGAGGAAGAACACAGAAGCGAGGATGATTAAGGGGAAGAGGAAGGAAAGAGCAAGCGGGACACGGAACTGCATTTGACCAGCTGTCTTGCTCAGCCCGAAATCGATCCAGTTGCACAGAACAAAGCCTAGGACCATGCAAATGCCATCAACAACCACATGCTGCCCACGGCTCTTGGCTGAGCTACACTCCGCCTGGAAGACTGGGACAGTGGCGCTAAGTTGTCCAACACCAATGCCTAGTACAACCCGCCCGACGGTAAGCTGGGCGATCTTGTATGCCGATGTTTCCAACAGCTCGCCTATCACGACGATAGCAGCAGCGAGGAAAAGAGTCTTGCGCCGGCCAAGACGGTCCCCAAGATACGTGCATGAGAGCGCTCCCAGGAGTGCCCCCAGCTGGAGGGAGGCGATGACTGCGCCTTTTCTTGTCGAGTTTCGTTCCTTGACGGCACCGTCGGTGTTGATTGTGTCGATCTCAGGGAACGTGTGGACCCAGGAGGGATGTCAGCTTCTTATTTCGATGTAGACAGTGCACCAAATATCCATACCATGTTTGCAAGGTAGCGAGCGGCCCAACTCCCGCTTGATTGTAACCGTAGGATATGAATGCAGGTGCGACGATGAGAAGCACCTGTGCCAGACGCAACGCTTGCCCTCGAAGCATTCTGAATTTCGTGCAGCTCCCTAGGCTTTAGCGCGAAGTATAACATGTCCAGGATAGAGATTTATATCCGGGCCCCCGCATATTGGCGAAAAATCTCTGGGGCAAAGAGATTAGTGTAACTGGGGCATGGCTCCATAGACGAAAGTCCGCGGAGACAATTAGCCCTCGAGATCCCGCGGGTATAACGCTCCCGTCGGCAAATGGAGCCATGACTCCGAACATCGGACGGCTTCGCACAAGTCTCAGTAGCGAAAATGGACAAAGTTGGAAGCCAAGAGGGACGGGACCAAATTTTGGCAACACGTTGAGTCTTCCGCTATCCTCCATTCATCGTGCTGATTGGCTTCTCGAATAGTTAGTCAAGAGTAGCTAGTCGGTTACACTAGTTGTCGGCAGTAAGACGACGTACCTGGCCACGCGATAGTATGTTTCGCTATATGGCGGGCCCTAATGCGGCGTTTCCATGCTGAGTTCGCGCCATGCTGCATTAACATAGGCTCTGGTCATAGTCTATCGAGATCTGATTCCTTGAGCTTGGATCGAACCCTTCTCGAACGGTGCAAGTATACTATTCAAATGCTTCCGACGCAACATATGATGCAACGAGACTCACAGCTTTTGAAGAGCATTTCAGTGTTTCCAGTCGCATGATTGGTGGTGTGGCATATCTATGAGGATTGCGAAATCGCATGTATGAAGTTTTGAGTCTGCCGGAATCGCCAAGAACGTACAGTTGAAATCTTCAGCTAGATGCGGAGTCGGGAGTTCATGTGAGTAATTAACAAGGGGGGTGACCCAGGGGCTATTTGGGGTTCTGGTTTCAGTCTGTCTCACCTAGAAGAAGATAAATTGCATGTTACCACCGGTGGATAGCTAGGTGAGGAGCAAAACCATCGTTGCGAGAAGCGCCTTGTCCTGACTTTTTGGTGGTGGTCTGTGAGGTCAAATCAACTGCTTGTGGTACTTCGCGATGGAGATACAGAACATGAGGAATGATCTCCACATGCCGACTAGACTGATTATTGATGCTAGGCTTACGTTCAGGTGGAGAATATTAATATTGGTAGAGATGGTTAGGAAGGAACATGCCACTTCGGGTACTAGGTTCTGTGTAGTGTCATATATATGCTATATGGGCTTAGTCGGGAGGTACAGGGTTTGACCCTTCTTGTTGATGCCTTCCAAGCATAGTGTGATCATTATATATGATCATTCCGAACTTCCACCACAGTCCATCTCACTTTCGTAGATATAATGCCATATCCTCTGTAACGCACACACACCAGGTAAGTGGACAAACGGCATCACAATGCGCTATGATGGTTTATAGCTTGTACCTCCAGCCTCTCTCATTGCCTGAGTGCATCGTCCACCCCTCAGCTTCGTCCAACCTCTTATTGAGCTTTCTACCTCTCCAGTTGACAGCAAAGGCAGACAGCACCACCAGTGCACACCCCATGAGTACCAGACCACCACCCATCCGGTAGAATGGCTCTTGGCTAGTTGGGTAGAAGTAAGGGCTAAACCAGTGGCTCGACTGGCTGATGCAGTTGGCAATCGCAATGAGAGCAGCTTTCTTCGCTCTCGGAGATGGAACTACTGTCGTTTCCCAAGACAGCTGCAGGTTGAGCCCACTATAAGTGCCGGATATGAGTAAGACGATTCCGAAGTACCGCGCGCCGACGTTGAGAGTACTGATGAGGATACTGCACCCTGCAGCGGAGATGAATATGGGAATGACTATGTGCCAGGTTGACTCTTGGAGTCTGCCACAGGACCATGCCGCGGCACAGGCAAATATATAGGCAATAGCATATGGAGGGGCTTGGACGAGGTACGTGGTCATGGTGTCGAAACCAAATGTTTGTATGATCTAAGTTAGCTCGTTAGACATAGGCTTCTGAATGACTGCAGCTGTTGAGACATATATTGTTAGGTAATGAAGAAGGGGACTCACCGACGGCAAAAAGTCTTTGAAGCTCTGCGCAGTAACAAGTGCAAAGTGCATGAGGCAAAAGAACCATGTAAAAGGGTCCTTGACGGCGTCCTTGAGCCCATCCCACGTCCCGCCAACGGTCTCATCCCGTCCGCCATTGGACACGAGCACACGGTATTGTGCCATCTGGCTCTCCTCCTCAGACAGGAAAGGAGTGTTATGCGGCCAGGCGGGCAAGAAGATGAATGATGCCACAGCAACAATAATAGATGCTATCCCTTCGATCAAAAAGAACCACTGCCATGCATGCAGGCCGCTAATGCCATCCATATTCTCGAGGACACCAGCAGCTAAGAATCCCGAGATGATATTAGAGATAGTGTTGCCGGCATGCCAGATCGCCATGCGCATAGGGGACTCTTCTTTCGTATACCATGAAGATGTCACTAGGCCGTGAGCTTTAGAACATGTCCAGTAGATAGAGGGAAGTGCTTCCTTACGGAGAGTGAGAGCAGGAAAAAGGGTGCCTCGGCCAGGCCAATGAAGAATCGAACGACGCAGAAGCCCACGCCACTGTAGCACGGTTAGCTACCTGCTTTGGTGCACAACAGACTGTTGAGGAAAGCTCACTTGGTCATGGCAGGCATACAAATGGTGCCACAACTCCACATAAACATTATGATCGGAAGGAACCAACGTGGGTTCGACTTAGCCATGAGTAGGTTCCCAGGAAGCTGGCCGACGAGGTAGCCAACATAAAAGGTCGATATTCCTGCATTCCAAACAGTATCACTCATATTCAAATCGCTCTGTAGCCCGGCCAGACGGGCATTAGAGACGTTGATACGGTCGAGATAACTAGACACAAGATTAGTTGCTTAGTCTATCCTACCCTAATACGGGGTCTTACTTCATCAGGAACATGAGTGTGACGCATGGCATCATGCGCCAGTCAATCCTCTTGAGGACACGCTTATTGAGTGCTTCCATCTGCTCCGGGCTCAGCTCACGCAAAAGCTCGAACCGCGCCTGAATATCATCTGACGCAATATAGACGCCATCGGCAGCCGGCTGGTGATCATACTCTGAGACATCCTCGATATGCTTCTCAATTGACTTGACGTCTCTGATGCGATTGGCTTCTTCTTCACCCTCTAAGCTAGAGGAGCAGGTTGGCGGCGATGAGGGCATGATTGAGACGCTGATGGGCTTGCCTGTAGACAACAGTTGAAGTATAGAACGATTTCGAAGGAAGCAATTTGTATATTCAGGTCCACGTTCTTTATATATATCGCCGCATTGGGTTATCTGGGCATAACATGACATCCCCAGGCTGGTGTTTGCGGGCCCGCACAGTCAATGTTGTGGATCCCGCGGGAGAAAGAGTATACAAAGTTTGCTATGTAGAACAAGTTACGAGAGAGAACCTCTGCCCATTGGTGTCATCCAAGACATCTAGCGAGAGGCCATGGCGCCGATCTTGGCGAACTCTGGGCATTCACAGTAATCGTAACATCCGCGGGAGGTAGATGCACTGAGATGGACAGTCTGGATGATATGCCACGCTTCAATTGATAATTCTATACCATTACAAACAAATCTGCAATTGTGTCCAATATCAACCATCTCTACTAGATGCCCTTGAGCCCATCAAAAGTGCGGCGACGTTCTCATAGACCGTAAACACTATGCCACCACTGAGGATCAGCCTGCCTAGTCGCATTGAACTTCCCCGCCAGAAGGCCCGCACACCTCCATCTTTCAGCACATCTCGCAGCGCTTCCATGGTTGATGCGCCGTTGGCCCCTTGCGCACGTGTCTTGATGGTGTCGAAAGGCTGGGTCATGTATACCGTGATGACACCAGCAGTGGCCCCCATTCCAAATGTCAGCATGGGGTTCTTTGTGTCCTTGATGCTGGTGCTCGATGACACGACCTCCTTTAAGACGTTGTAAGAGCCCATTCGTACAGCAGATGTGGCCGACTGCTTCATTGTCGTAGAGATTAAGCCGCGGTAGACCTCACTAACGCCAGACTCGGCAATGATGGTGCGGAGGGCATGGAGTCCGCCCTTATAGCGACGTGCGGTGGACGATCGTGCGTCGTCGATACTGTATTTTCGCACGAATCCTATCAGCGTATGAAGAAGCATGGTAGAAAACAGACTCACAGAGCAGTCTTGATCCGTTCTGTGGGAGTAACTGCGACTATACTCTCGACCGTACCCGCGACCATGCCAGCTAGAATGCCTCGTGCTGGTGACAGTGTTCCGTCTACATCCGCCAGGAGGTTCTTGATAGTGTCAAAAGACAAGAAACGCACCCCCGCCTTGAAGGCAGTCCCGAGAATCAGGGTCGAGCAACCGGTGTAGATAGCTCGAACACCATCATTGCGCGCCGTCTGCAATATGACTGCCAGAGGATTCCTAGAAATCGGACTCGAGATACCACTGGCAGCCTTTTGGCTTAGTTGAGCACGAGTTTTAGCAAACTCAAAGGGGTACTGTGACACGTGTTGAGTTCAGCAGGGCGAGTGAGACAACAGGAAAGAGGATAAACGCACAGTGACGGTTGCTTCCACTCCTCCAGCTACAGCTCCCGCAGCAAGTGAAACGCCGGGAGAAACGGCATTCTTCTTGGCTACTTGCGCCTGTGTCTTGGGTGCAGGCGCTGTAGAACGCCGCTGGGCCTCGGAAATGGTCGCCATGGAGAAGATGGGTGACCTTGGAAGACGAGGGTTGTCGATGAGCTCACACTTTCTAGGAGCGGAGGACTGTGGTGACAGTCCCCAAAGAGCAGCAATGCCCCGGATGGGATATTAACTACAGGTCGGGCATGGCTCCGATTGCATGGGATGGAAAGTATTGCCGCGGGATCTCGCTATCCGATTCCCTCCGGAGTAACATTTAAATCGTCGGCAATCATCGGGGGTCCCCGTCCACGTGAATAGCCCGTCCCGGCGGAGATAAGATATCATAGACGCCGCGGACGGAATTTTATACTCGCATCTGCATCCACTTTGATCTTCATGGAGTCTGTCCACGGCAACAAATCTGTTCCCCCATCACAGCCGTCAGTTCGTTCCCGCCGACGACGCGCCATCGAGGCCTGTTCATTCTGCCGTAGAAGAAAGGTGCGAGACTGCCCAGGGCCTACCTGCCCGGCTGTACCCCGCGCTGACCGCGGCCGAGGTGACGACAGATCAAATGCAATAATGAACGGCCTGTCTGTATCAACTGTAAGACGTATGCACAGGACTGCGTCTATGAGCCCATTACCAGTAAAACCCGGGACGCTGGCAATGAACGCCACAACCGGTCCAGGCACCGCGGGTCTCTAGAGAAGAGTGTCCCGAACGTTGACAAAGATGGACGCTCTCGTCCAGTCTGGTTGCCACAGAGCAACAGTGGTGTTGACCAGTTCCAAGGGGTAGATGAAGGAACTGCATCTGGCAACCATTCTAATGGTGATATGGACCGAGGCGACGCGACTGGGTCCTCTGAAGCTAGAGTGGCTCACATTTTGGTTTCAGCTAACGGCGAGTCCAGCTATCACGGGCGAACAAGTGCTCTGTTTGAAGATCATGTCCAAGATCGATCAATTGGGGTGGATCAGCGCCCTCGAATGCCAGACGACTGGGTAGAGCGGGGCCTTGTCGCTGAAGCAGCAAAACAACGTAGGTGGCACCCGTGCACGTCAATATCATTGCCCCTTTTTGCCGTCACACTGCTACGTTCGATTTCATTATTCTTTTACATCTAGTATATCTCAGGCCATAGGCTGAAAAACGTGGAAACAGGTCAGATGGAACAGTTAAACTTCCGCCAGGCTAAACTTGACTTTGATGGTGTTGATCCAGATCTAGGGATGCACCTGCTGTCGCTCCATTGGAACCGACAACATCATTCATTTCTAATAACATACCGCCCAGCATTCATGCGAGATATGGCTTGCAATGGCCCTTACTTTTCTAAGCTACTACTTAACGCTATCTACTTTGGTGCGGCCAAATTCAGCCCTAGGTTGGAGGTTCGCAAAGACCCCAACGACGTCCGCACGGCTGGCTGGAGGTATCGCGAGCGAGTCCGCGAACTCCTAGGTGGTGCGCTAGATCATAGTGATATCACAACAATTCAGGCACTACTTGTAATGACAAACTCACTCTTTGCTCTCGGGGATGAAAGGAGCGCTGCATGGCTGTATTCTGGCCTGGCGTTCCGCATGTTGATTGACATGGGAATGCATGTTGACTTGACTAGTACACGCCGATTCTCAGACGAGGATTTAGAAATTCGACGACGGGTCTTTTGGGGTGCATTTGGTAAGAAAATTCCCTATACTGAGGGCCCATCTGAGTAGACCAACTGGCTGACCGAAGACGAACATTGTAGTTGTGGACAAGATCCAGAGCCTGTATCAAGGCCGCCCCGTTAGCTTGAAAGACACAGACGCCCTCGTCCCAATAAAGTTTCTGGATACCTACGAGGAGCTCGAGCATTGGCAACCTTTTGCCTATACGACATCAGCACCCGACTACCCTGGGATGCCCGCGTATAGCATATCTACTTTCACGTGTCTGTGCAAACTTTCACTCATCATGAGTGACATCCTAAGCTGTATATATACGGAACGGAGTTCAAACCAAAGTCCCGCTGAGCTGGCAAGTATGCTGGACGAACTGCAGTTGAGATTGGACCAATGGCAGGCTAGGTTACCAGAACATCTGCGGTTTGACCCTGGGAAAGCTCGCAGCATGGCATTCCCGCCGCCCCATGTGTCCAGCCTTCAGTAAGTCAAGCCACCCTTTTGGACAGTCTCGTTGCGCCGAACTGACTTTTGGTAGCGCTATGCATAACTCACTTGTGATTCTGTTGCACCGTCCATTTGTAGCAGACGGGCATCTGTATAGCACATCTCCGTCGATATCTGTCGATTCGTTCATGAAGTGCGCCTCGGCGGCATCAAATACTAGCAATCTGCTGCGTGCTTATCATCGTGCATTCTCTATCAGACGAGCACCCTATCTGATATCATACGCAACATATGTCGCTGCCACGGTTCTGACCCGAATTGCGGCCAGACGTAGGAATGATTCGACGGCACATGCCAACCTAGCGACATGTCTCGCCGTCTTCAAAGAGAATCAAGAGACGAACTCAGCGGTGAAAAAAGCGGCTAATATTGTACAAGGCCTCATGAAAAAGCTTGGCGTCACTATTGACAATATCTCACTTGACGCTTTAGAAATAGACCCGCCGATCAGATCTTCCGAGCGAGATCCCCAACCCAATCATGGTGCTACTGGTGGCGATGTCAGCGTCCAGCCGAGCACCGGTACCGCAACCCACAGTAGTCTGGCTATTGGGAATGTGACTGGACATTTGAACACCAAAAGTCCGGATCAGCCGATACAGTCCCCTGGATCGGACTGGGTAGATATAGATGGAATTATTCAGAGCTTTCTACATGAGAATAACAATCGCGGAGCAAGACTAGTGGACTACGAGGCCAACGGAATCCCCACCCAGCCGTCTAGAGCACCATGGATGACGGTGCATCAAGGCGACATTCCTCCGCCTGTGATGGTGGACGATGCGCGAACCTTGGGAAACCAGGCTTCCCTTCGCCCGGATATTGATGTTGCCAATGGTGCGCATCGATCGGAGACAGCGGGTGGAACGTATCAGTGGCAGTATGGCTGGAGACCGGCAAATTGCGAGCCTACATCCTTAGAGGATCCACTTTTTGGCTTGAACGGTTCGTCAATAGATAGCTTCCCCTTTGCAGATTGGTGAGCGCAGTCCCCTGGTGTCCCGCGGAGGGAACAGGGTGATGTACTCTGTACTTTGGCGTAAATGCCATTCCCGTTTAGCCGTTTCTTCCCGCGGGAATATCGATCCCGTTGGATGTGGAGCCCTCACAAAGGTGTGAACCCGCCCGTCACCTCATTGCGAATACTCTTTAACTGTCTTTTGGCGAAGATCCTTGCAGTTGAAATTATACAATAACATTCGTCGGATTGCGGCTGCCTTTGAAAATGGGGCCCTATATAGTCCTACTGTACACCACCGCTGTGACCCGATGAACAAGCTAGTGCCGCAAGTTTTCAGGAGAGCATTTGTATCCCAAGCCCAAGAATACCCCAACAGGCTCCCAGCTGATATTCTATCCGTACTGGGTCCAAAGAGTCTGGAGCTGCCAGTACTTGCCCGACCTAATATCCCCGAGATGGCTACTGAACTGGTCACCAAGACTCGGCGGCTTAGGCGCCAAGCGCTGCCATGTGTTCTCATGCGCGCGGGGACCTCCAAAGGGATATTCCTACACCAAAAGGATTTGCCAACAAAGGAGATTGACTGGGCTCCTCACTTGGTCTCTGCTCTTGGATCTCGAGGGAACGACCCTCGACAAATCGATGGTGTTGGCGGAGGGACATCAACGACATCGAAAGTTGCCGTCGTTCGGCGCTCACAAAGACCAGACGCCGACATCGAGTGGACCTTTGTCCAAGTTGCTGTAGGCAAAGAGTCAGTCGATTTTACCGGCACTTGCGGCAACATGACTGCGGGCGTGGCACCGTTTGCCATCCAGGAAGGCCTTATCAAGCCTCGGCCAGAACAGACCAAGGTACGTTTCGTCCCTGGTGGGGGATCTTCCATAGAGAAGAATAAAACAGTCAGGGTAACTTCCGAGTAATAGATCGATATAAGGATCTACAACACAAATACAAATCGAATAGTCATCGAGACTGTCACCGTCGACGGCTCAGGAGACTATGAGGAGGATGGCAACTTTATCATTCCTGGGGTCAAAACACCTGGGAGCGAAGTCAAGTGCAGATTTGTCAACCCCATGGGCAGTATGACTGGGAAGCTTTTTCCTTCTGAGGATCAGCAACAGCAGACACTCCGCGTGCAGCCGGGGCCGCTCATGCCCAGCCATGAGCCCTTCGATGTTCGTGTAACGCTTATCGACTCGGCGAACCCATTTGTCCTCATCGACACGACATCAATATCAGCAACCCTTCTTGGAACGAATCCATCTGACTCTCATCGGAATGATCTTGTAGAGTCCATCCGCCGCGCCGGTGCAGTCGCGATGGGCCTAGCAACAGACGTTGAAGCCGCCGGTAGGACCCGCGGTACGCCCAAAGCTGCACTCGTGTATCCCCCAACCTTTACCCAAGTCGGCGACAGCAACAAGGGTAGGCCAGATATTCGCATACAGGCCTACTCTATGGGGTTACCACATCCGAGCCTACAGCTGACAGGCGCCGTAACAATAGGCGTCGCGTTAAGCTACCCTGGTACAATCGTGGCGGATCTCTCCGCCATGGGTTCTATCATGCATGGGGCGTTGCCGCCGACTCCCGAACAGTCGCCGCCACCTGAGGACCGGAAAGAAGCGCATCCTGGGTGCGGGCGCGATGTACTGATTGAGCATAGCCAAGGGACAATCAAGGTGGATGTCGCAATGGACAATGCTGGAGAAGTGGCTAGTTGCGCAGTATCACGTACCGCAAGGCGGTTGTTTGAGGGAAAGGTTCGGTATTATGTACAGGAGGATGAGTTGTAGCCTAGGTGTATTATTTCATAGCGTTATCGAGGTCTCCAAAAAGCAAGGTCCGATATTCTTTCCGGCTGCCTCTTTTCCATCATGTCCGCTTCTACGCGATTTGCCTACCACACAGGCTGTAGTATATCTGTGACGGAGAGCGGTGATGCTGTAGGTGGCAAGGGCTTCCTTCTGGACTTCACACAATCTTTATTTACAGCTACTAGAGGTTATCTATTTACAAGCGACCCCTAGCCACGTTTTGCTCCATTAGCCGACGCCCAATGTCTCGTAGAATGTGCTTCTGGTGTTTCCCACTGCCAGTCTTGGGAAAATCGCTTCCCACCTCCGAATCGCCAATCCAGAAGATATGCTGGGGCGTCTTGTGACGACCTACCGTACTCCGAACATGCTCTATGACTTCTTGGTCGTCTGGTCTCGCAGCAGCATCTGCCGCTCGAAGGAAACAGCCCACAGCTTCACCGTATCGCCAATCCGGAATACCTACTACGCTGGCTTCGCTAATAGATGGATGCGACTCGAGACATTCCTCAATTTCGCGCGGGAAAAGATTCTCCCCTCCTGCATCGGTGAATGAGTGATTGGTCTGATTGCCCTGGCCAAAGCCACACGGGAACGGCGCATACCTCGAATAATAATATCCTTGATTCGTCCTGTAATGGAGGCATATCCCTCGTCATCAATCATGGCCTCGTCGCCTGTATGCATCCACAGCACGCCGTTCTCATCCCGCTTCATGACCTTTCTGGTCTGGGCTGCATTTCTCCAGTAGCCCTTTTGCAGTGCATACCCGCTCGTGCAAAGCTCACCACGTTCTCCTCGCCGTACAATATTTCCATCTTGGTCAATGACCTTAGCTGCGGTGTGAGGCAAGACTCTCCCGACAGTCGTAGCGCCTTTCTCATCAGAATCATCAAGCCTCGTGATAAATGTCAGTGGGCTGGTCTCGGTCATGCCATACGCGATCAACATTTTCTCTACATCCAGGCACTGGTGTATCTGGTGGACCAGGATCGGTGAGACGTTAGTCCCAGCAATAATTCCGGTGCGCAGTCGACGAGGTCGTTGGCCTGTGTGAGCAATGACCTCCATCTCGCCAATGTACATTGTCGGAACTCCTAGGATAACGGTCGCATCCTCCTGTACCATGCAGTCCACTGTCTGCTTCACGTTAAAGCAATCGGCTGGGAATATAACGCTACTTCCATGGCAGAAGGAAGCCAAAAACCCCAATACAAGCCCAAAGCAGTGGAATAGTGGCGGTGGACAACATATAATGTCGTCTGGGGTTAGTTTCATTGCGCCGCCGATGAAGCGAGCATTGTTGATCAGGTTGCTGTAAGAGTATCAACTAGCTGCTAGGGGGGGACTGTAACCTGGAATACTTACATGTGTGTCAGCATAGCGGCCTTTGGAGTACCAGTCGTACCTAGAGAAACAAGTCAGTTGAGCCTCGGGAGACAAGGTGCAGAAATATATCATACCCGAAGTAAACTGCAGATTCAGCACGTGTTCAGCGGATACCTTCCGTTCGACTCGTTTGAGCATAGCATCGCCCATAAACACTGAATGCGCATTGGAGGTAAAGGTGCTATATTGTTGGACCTCGACACCGTGTCTCACAACAGTATGCGGTGCAAGGAGAACCACGCGGCGGAGTTCAGGCAGGGTTCGATTCGGAATGTGCTCGCCACAAAGAGCTGTAACATGCTTTGCGAGGCTTCTGGTACCTACAGTAAGACTGACAAAGACCAGTTTGCATGCTTGGAATAGTTAGTCACAATGACTAGGGCTGGTATGGTAGGCAACGCACAGCTTGCAAGGACCGCGTTTCTCAATTCCTGGGGTGTATAGGTATTGTTCAAGACCACCACCGGACATCCTACTCGAGCACTGCCTAAGAAGACTTCGATATACTGGTAGCAATTACCTGCCATGATCCCCACACAATCACCGTGGCGTAACCCCATTTCCAAGATTGCTTTGGCTAGTACTCTGCTTCGTTCTGCCAGTTGACGGTACGAGAGACTCACGGACTGCCAGGGGATAATGAGTGCATTTCTGTCGCCGTAGCGAGCTTCTTGCTCATCGATTAATGACCCTAGAGTCTTTTTCCATAGCTCAGGGCGTCGAGGGCCATGGACTAATGCAATGTTTTCTGCCATTTTTTTCTCTGTGGGGCGTTGAGCAACGTGGTAGGACTTGTGTACGAGATACGGCTAAGTTATAGATTATATTATGGAAACGACGTAATTTTGATTTGGGTCTCAAATATGCACCAGGTAAGTACTCAATCAAACTAGGGTTTCGCACTTGTCCAACCGTCCGGTTAATGTTGCAGAGGTGATGGTGGATGGTCGGACAGTCTATCAGCACTGTACCAGGAGAAACTTTCACTAGTCATGAGTACTGTACAAGATATATTTTCGAATTGCCCAGTTTTCATTTTGTTTTGGCGACTTTTTGTATTCCAATTGGTACACACTGAAACGCGCGCAACTCATATTCCATTCTCATACTATGGAGAGCGAGTCCGGAGATCACACAATGATGCTCTCTTACCCTATCTGGTAATACCTACGTAGTGGCTTGCGAACTACCATGCGAACACTGGGTGTTGGTACTTGGGTCCCTTTCTGGTCATGCTAGAGAGTATTAGACTTCGCCCTTCGGGGTTATTGCCGTCATGAGCTCTCGTCAGCATATGCATGTTTCTGCTTTTCTTCCCACCTTCAGCTTCACCCCCTAGCAATATGAAAGTGCCTTTCCTTGGGGAACCCACACGAACTGCAGAGGAGATGTAAAGAAATCGTCAACTTGACATTACAATGTATGCAAGCAATCACTATATACACATGTACTTTATATCTTTGCATGCCGCCTAAAAAGATGCAATCTTCCGCCCTGTCGGTCTGGCATCTATTTGCCTGGTGTATGTCCCCTAGGGCACTTCTTAAAAGGCTGTCCCCACTTTCTCTGCTTCTTCCTTGATCAGCAATTCATGCTTGGGGCTACGAACCGTCACCTTAACAGGAAAGGGTTGGTTATGGATGTGAAAGTGGTTAAGTTTCCGAGTATTGATGGGGCCATCCTATCCTGCGTTAGCAACACATCCCACGTCTGAAACACATAGGAGATTCAAAGAGGAAAGAAGACATAAACGAAGGCAAGTGCTTACCGCGCATAAATCAAAACAGAAAACGATTCGTGCCATAGCCACGTATAATGCCTGCTGGGCAACTCGATAACCGACACAGATACGTCGCCCACCACCAAACGCCCAGAGATTATGCACGATGTTGCCCTCGTTGCCGTCCAGCCATCGCGACGGGTCGAACTGATCTGGGTTCTCACATGTCTGGCTAATGGCAATCCCATTGACTACAAAACATGTTCCCTTCGGGAAACGGTACCCTTCATAGTCGAGGTCGGCCGTCAGCTGGTGTTGCGGCGTGACGGGTGTAGTGGGCCGCCAGCGAAGGACCTCTTTGACCATGGCAGCCAAGTAGGGCAGACGCTCGAAGTCCACCATGCCGGGGAGTTTGAGTGTGCCATCTTCATTGATACAGACGGCGTCTAACTCCTGGCGAGCACGAGCCATCGTTTCCGGGTGGCTGATCATCGCCATGATGAAAGTGTTGAGCGTCATGCGGGTATTGTCGCTGCCGGCGGCAATGACCGACGTCGCAAGGTACATGGCTTCCTCTTCTGTGCCCTTGTAACGCATGTCCGGATGGAGCAGTGTGTCCCGCACGAAGCCAGGGTTGGCTGTCCCCTGACGCACGGCCTCGCGAATGGGGTCCCACCACGACTTGAATACCTGATGATGGAAGTCGCCCATTTTTGCCCAGTACGGCCGCCACCACTGCAGACAAGTGGGGATCCAGCGATCCAGCTGGGGAAAGAAGTCGACCATGCTGTTGAGCAAGCTCAAGGTGAACTCCATCGTGACCTTCTGATAGTCATTCAACTCGGCTTGCGTCTTGGAGAGATCCTCGCCCATGACGAGACGGTATAGCACAGCAATGGAGTAGCGATAGTGATGTGCGTACCAGCGCTTGGGCTCCTGCAGATACGCAGACAACATCTGGAGCGACTCGATCTCTTGCCAGTTACCGTATATGCGCAGAACCGATCCACTAAGCAGATGGTGCATCACTCGTCTCCCCTCAGTCCACGCAGCAGTGGGACGAATAACGGTGCGCATGCCGTGACTGACCAAATCACTAGCAATGGGCATCTCTGGCCGCTCGCTGGTAATCTTGCCATGCTTATTGATAATATCAGTAGCCACCTGCGGGTCATTCAGCACCACCCAGGTCTGGGAGCCCATGTGCAGGGTGGTCATCGGACCATACTGTCGTAACGAAGCCAGCTGCCGACCATGTTCGTCAGCTAGTCATACCGGCATAATGCAAGGAACCTGGACTCACGAAAGGGCCCCATAGTCCTGCATCGCGCGCTCTCGTGAACCGAAACATGTTGCCAAAGATAGGGAGCCCTGGGGGACCGGGAGGCAATCTACGCCCCTTGCTCGCCAGCGGCCGCAGGAGACTACCGGTTCGAAGATACTCATACGAGAGCCAGAGTAGCCCGAAGGCCCCGACGACCAGAAGTGTCTCTACCATAGGCTGGCCCATGATGATGCATGGAAAACGAGTTGGCTGTGTCATTCCACGGGGACATGGCGAGTTGGATGCTTCTTGTAGATGGACATGCGGGCATGATGCTGTATACCGGGTGGGGGCCAGCCGCAAGCCCGTCAGCCCTAACGCAGACCAACTGCTCGTTGGTGTCCTTTTGGCCCCAATCGTAAGCTGGCATTTTAGCGCTGAAATTCACAAAGAAAGTACCGGCCGTAAGAGGAGACCGACAGAAACGCCCGCCAAAGCCCCTCTACCCCTCATCTCAGCCGCATCGCCGGCGCTTATAAAAACCCCGGCAAGCTTGGCCTTGTCACTCGTCGGGCTGTGAGATTTCTTTTCTCCGACCGTCTTACAGTTACTTTCCTTCGGGTTGCTTCTCGTCACCTTATTCATCCTCCCGCGCCTCATCCCTTGGCCCCCCACAAGATGGCGGACTTTCAAACCATCGCCCTCACCACCAAGCCCTCGGCGCAGCTAAGCTACAGCTACCAACCTCCCCAGGACACCTCGAAGCCCGTCCTGGTCGTCTTTCTCAATGGTCTCGGGTTACCTCAGGCCTTCTGGCCACCGGTCATTGCGCAACTGAAAGCTCTCCGCCAGGGCCAACCCACTCCCGCCTTCCTCACCTACGATCGGTATGGCCAGGGCCAGACCACCGATCGCGATCCCTCAGATGCTGGCGCAGAGGACCCGATGCACGGTCATGACTGTCTGACCGCTGTTCGCGACTTGCGCCAGCTCGTCACCCAGATTACCGCCGACAAACTCAGCGCTGCCGATGTAGACTCCATCTCTCTTGTTCTCGTAGGCAACTCGATCGGCTGCGCGCTCGCGCGTCTTTACGCTCAAGAATACCCCGGTACCGTGGCCGGTCTCCTGCTGCTGGACAGCGTGCTGGCCAACTCGGACTTCGTGTCGGTCTTCCCCGACCCGGATGCTCCCGATTTCGATCCCGCTAGCCTGGGGCCCCTCCCTGTGGAGGCCATCCGCGCCGTGCGGGCCGGTGCGCGTCGCATCTTCCACCCCGATGTGGGCAGCAAAGAGGGTCTGAGCCGACGCAACCTGCGGGAGTTACTCCCCGCCAGCGACGGTCCCCTTCTCAAGGGCCCCGATGGCCACGGCCCGTACGTCACGGTGGTGGGACATGACTTTGATGCGTTTGCGGAAGAATCTGCCAAGATGGGACCCCCCAAGCCTGTCACCAACCGCTTCGTCAACCCATACTGGCAGAAGTACAACGAGGGGCTGGTGAAGATTACTGAGGCTGAGTATAGCAAGGGGCCACTGCAGGCGCCCCACGCAGGGCACTTTATCCAGAAGGACAACCCCGAGTTTGTGGTACAAGAACTCAATGAGCTTCTGGGCAAGATTCTGTAAATAGCTTTCCCACTGTATTTCGGATGAATACGAGTCATGGCCATTCTGTACTTTGCGTCCTTCTATCTGGCGCGAGTCTATCGAGTGAACAGAGTCGATCACGCTTAATCCATGCCGGTAGAGACTGTTCTAACTGTTGTAATAACTCCTTACATCCCACGAGAGCCAACGCATCGAATGGCCATCGTCTTCGGTTTGACTGAAGCGGGGATCTCGTGCGGCTTTCTCCTTGCCAAGCGTCGCGGATATATTATCCAGACAGTAGCTTCTTGGCCAGGTCTATCATTCCAGTCTTACGTGAGCTGCTAAGCTAGCGGGGTAATGCTTAGCTTTAGCTCTCGACTCAGCCTAGTCTTGTCATCTATTATGGTTTCTTCATGTAACCTGTTCGATCCTTCCACCAGGATCCTGCTGGCCCCCACGTCTGGACGCCATAGCAGTTGATCTCATTGCTATTTTTGCCCCGAAATCCGTCCCACTAATGCGGGTCGGCATAAGCGAAATGTGCATGCCCATAGTCCCATGTACAAGTGACGGAGAGGGAGGGGCGCAGTAAGCATGGCAATATATAGAGGTGATTATAAGCCGACCTCCGTCAGCATGGCAGGGGTAGAAAGGGGTTCGTGCCACGGATCGGCTATCAAATTTCTGTTCCTGTCCCTTGGCAGAGGGAGACAGATTCTCTGCCCGGGATAACGTGCAGAATGTCAATTTGTCTACTCGCAACGTGTGACACCCTATTCGTATTCCTGCATGGCCATCCAGCCTTGAGCCCTGAATTACGAGATACCGGAGACGCCGTGTGCACATTCCCGCCATGGGGCCAACAGCGAGAGTATCAGCCATGCAATATCTTCGCTCCATGCTGGCTAGCACCAGAGGCATTTTCTTTTTGAGAGCGCAGGTACCCAGTCTTTCGGATCCGAACTGACCCCTCACCCTGTCTGCTCTTGCTCTGTTTTCTTCATTGCCCTGCTCGTTAAACTCTTGTAAACATGGACCAAATGACAGGCCCCCGGCCACCTGATGTGAGCATCGGCTACCGACTCTTGGTTGGAACAACCGTCACTTTCGTATGCGCATTCATTGTTGTGTCCTTGCGGGGTGTGGCACGCAGCGTGTACGCTCGCATGAGCTGGGATGACTATCTTATGATATTCGCCCTGGTAATTCATTTATTCCACTCTACTCTTGAGAACCGGAGACTAATATTGTCCCACCTTCAGGTTCAAGCGTTAATCGCGACTGTCTTCGATTTCGTCGCCGTCGACAAAGGGCTGGGACGTCACCTAATCTACATCCCGAAGAATGACGCCGTCACAGCCATGTATTATGATCTGCTTTCGCAGGTCTTCTGCATCAATGCCCTGAGCTTTGCGAAAATCTCCATCTGTCTATCCTACCTGCGTATCCTCAAGGGGTCGCGCCATGCTGTGCTGCGGGTGACGTGCTACCTCACTGCGTTTTTGGTCTTCGCGGTCAATACCGTGGTTATCATCTCGTTGTACGCACAATGCGATCCACCCCGCAAGTCGTGGAACCCGTTCATACCTGGAAAGTGCTGGAAATTCAGAACTGTGATCAGTCTTGTGCTGCTGCAAGGAGGTAGGCATACATCAGTCACAACTCTCGTCGCCGATGTTACAAGACCGCAACTAACACAAACCCAAACGACAGCCTGGTCCGCAGTAACGGATTACTTCCTATCCATTCTACCGTTCTTCCTCTTCAAAGACCTCCAGGTCAGTCGCGGAAACAAGATGATCCTGTGCGGACTGATGGGACTAGGCATCATGTAAGTCACTGCTTCACTCGCCCAACTAATACAACCGGATCGTGACTAACAAAACCTTCAGTACGGGCGTCTTCGCCACCATCCGGACGATTGAATCCGGTCTGGGTCTGAAGAACGGCATCACCGATGCCTCCTACACGACCGTGATGGGTCTCATGTGGGCGGGCATGGAGCGCAACATTGCCATGATGATCGGCAGTGTGCCCGCTCTACGCCCACTGACAACGCCATTCATGAAGTTGACTTCAGAAACCATGTCATACTTGGGCATCCGGTCTTCCTCCAAGACTCAATCGAGTTCTGGCGCCAATGGCTCGGGTTCATTCCAGAATAGGTCGGGTAATAAGTCAGCCAAGGATTTGCCCACGTCGAGTATGGAGCAGATTTTGCCGAACCGGGCGCCGAGAGATATGGTCTGAACCAGGGTATATACGTGGGGGCGAGCGCTGGAGTCCCAGATCCTGTTGAATAATGTACTAAATGACATATGGCCGGACGATCTCCGAGATGATTCAGACACTTTTCTCTTGGCCGTAAGCTTGTAATCTCCTCCGTATGGAATCATGTGTGGTTAGGGTGAGTTCCTCGACATGTCTGAACAGGCAAGTGACTGAAGATGTCGATCACAATGTGACTATGGATTCAGATCGGGATGTCAAAGTCAGAATGACCAATGATCTTTGTCAATTCTGTCTAGTATCGACACGAGCCAGGCCAGGCTGAGATCAGCACAGACAGTCTTTAGCTAGAGATAACGAAGAGCCGAAGGTTCACCCCACCCCCAAGGCCATTGACCAATGCGAATTCTACCAACGCTGCGCTGCCTCTGACGTTAGAATTTAGCCTGTCTAAGACTGGAACGGCCCCCCCAGGTACGCGCCTGGCATGGCTCCAGGCTCATTAAAATTGTCCGGAGTTAGCGTGGCCCCCACCCACGTTGCTTTGCTGGGCGCAGTTGAGGCTTGAAGCTAGTGGAACGTGTTCCAGATGCCAGCGGGGGTTCTGCAGGGAGCAATAAGCAGTTTCCCGGTCAGGGTCACATCTGGCCCCTATCTGCCGGTATAATCTTTCCTTACCCAATAAATGACGTGAACTAGTAGAGCCAATGTAATCTATGAGCTGGAGTATGCTCCTCTTTAGGAAGTTGATGTACATTGAACACAGCGGTGCTAAACATAGCGAGCCAAGGTTACCTTCCCTCATTCCCCTATGCGTAGCAACAGGTATTGTCATTACGAATACTGTTCTGTCCCGTCGGATGGTAGCACTGTATGGTATCTACTGCCTCGGGCAATTAATCGAGTACATCGCCCACGGGACGGAATAAGCCACTACTTATACTGGAGGCTATCTCCCACGGAGCAAGGATCTTTCGACAATTATCACTCTCATATCCACAATGGTGTTTGAAGATCCCAACCTCCAGGTTCCGCCCAACTGCGGCCGGCGGCTGATGCCCGCCGTGCTCGACGAAGTGGCCGAGAGCGATCCCCAGCGAGTCTTCGTCTCAGTTCCCAGGAGCTCCAATCTGGCCGATGGTTTCAAGGACATTCCCTATGGCACGTTCGCCAAGGCCGTCAACAAGTGTGCCTGGTATCTGCGCGAACAGCTCGGCGAGGACTCGATCCCGAAGACCATTCTGTACATGGGCCCGCTGGATGTGCGATACCTCGTTATCATCCTGGCGGCGGCCAAGGCCGGCCACATGGTGAGGCCCTATGTGCGCCAGATCATTTCCACATTGTCACTGACTCCATCCAGGCCTTCTTCAGTTCCCTTCGCAACAGCTTAGAAGCCCATCTGTCCCTCCTGGACAAATGTGGCTGCGACACAGTACTGGTGCCCAGTCGTGCACCGGCCATCCTCAGCCAGATCTTTGCCGCGCGCCCCATGGAGCAGATCGCCACACCCGAAGTGGACTTCTTCTTCGAAGACTTAGACCAAGTCCCGCCGATGGCCTTCACCCTGACCTGGGAAGAAGCCAAGACCAAGCCCTTCTGCGTACTCCACACGTCCGGCTCGACGGGCATCCCCAAGCCCGTCTTCGTCACCTACGGCACCTTCGCCAGCAACGACGCCCACCAGCTCATCCCCTCCCTCGGCGGCAAACCAACCCTCATCAACTATCTCTCCGGCCAGCGGCTCTTCCTCGCCCTCCCCGTCTTCCACGCCGCATGTCTCACCTTCACGCTCGTCTTCAACATCTTCGGCGGCGTCACCTGCGTCCTCCCACCACCCGAGCCCCTAACCGCCGACCTGGCCAACCAAGCCTTCCTCCACGGCAACCTGGACGGCGCCCTGATGGCGCCCTCCCTCATCGTGGACTGCTACAACAACAACGCCCACTGCGTCAACATGGTGCAGCGGCTCAAATTCCTCTCCTACGTCGGGGGCGCCCTGCCGGAGGAAGTAGGCAACGTGCTCACCACACGCATCAAACTCATGACGATGATGGGCTCGTGCGAAACAGCGCTGCACCCACTGGAACTCAACCCCGACCCGGCCGACTGGCAGTACCTGACCATCAGCCCGTTCCTGGGCCACACCTTCCGGGCCGACCGCGACGGGCTCTCCGACCTGGTGTTCGTCCGGGACCCGCGCTTCGAGCTCTTCCAGGGCGTGTTCCGCACGTTCCCCGACAAGACCGAGTTCGCCATGGGCGATCTCTTCGAACAGCACCCGCGGCGCCCCGAGTCATGGGTCTTCCGCGCCCGCACCGACGACATCATCGCCTTCACCACCGCCGAGAAACTCAACCCCATCACCATGGAAAGCGTCATCGCCGCAAACGCCAAGGTCAAGTCCGCCGTCGTCGGCGGCCAGGGCCAGTTCCAGGCGTCGGTGCTCATTGAGCCGTATACGTATCCGCGGAGCCCGGAGGAGGAGGACCAGTTTCTGCGTGATGTCTGGCCCAGTATTCTGCAGGCGAATCGGGACTGTCCGGCCCATGGACGCATTATGCGTGGGTTTGTTATGCTGACGAAGCCGGAGAAGCCGATGCCCAGGGCTGGCAAGGATACCGTGCAGAGACATCAGGTGCTGAAATTGTATGCGGAGGAGTTCCGCGAGTTGTATGACCGCATGCGGCCGCATGTGAAAAAGGATGCCGTTGCGCTGCAGTCGGTGGAGAGGGACGCTGTGGAGGCTAATGGTGATGCGCGTGAGCTGCTGGATCGTAGGGTCGAGGAGGCCCTGCAGCGGGTCTTGCCCGGTGCGGTTGAACGCGCTGTGCAGGATGTGTTGGCGCGCTTGCTTGCTGGGCTGACGGGGCAGCTGTCGCCTGCGGTTCAGACGAGTGGTCCTGAACAGCCGCCAGTGCATGTCAATGGACAGGTGAATGGGGTGTCCCGAGCCACAAATGGTGTAGAGGAGGAGGTGATACAGTCGGGACCTCCTGAGTTGAAGAAGGTCATCTATGACCAGCTGGGTGAGAATATCGATATCAGGGACGTCAAGGATGACTCGGATTTGTTCCAGTTCGGGTTGGACTCACTGGTGGTCATTGATTTGACTAACGCACTAAACACATACATTATTAAATGGAGGCCAGGGAAGGAGTTGTTGGAGCCGAAGGTGGTGTATGATAACCCAACGGTGGAAAGGATATTGGGTCTGGTTGAGGATGTCGGGAGAGCATAGCCATAGTGGAGTGCTGTTAAACTGTGTCATATAATCATATTACTATTATACTACTATGAGTTCGTGGTGATGAGATCTCCTAACTGACGATAACTGGCATGGATGCTATTCACCAGGGTAATAGTTGTAAAATGAAAGCACCAGTATTTAGAAATGTGTATAATACCTACGCTCTAGTTGGACTTAGCTGCTACGATCAGGATCATCGTTCATTCTCACAAGAACCAGATCCGACATAGAATTCTCTTACATCAGAATAGGATATTGTCCCCGTCTCCCATGGATAAATATGTATCATCGAAGAAACCCAGAGAGCCATACCCCAAATTCCCCAGGATAGTGAATCTACATAACAGCAAGCTAGTATAGACCCTAAATGAAGCCGACCACCCCAAGTATATACACAATCCCCCCCAGAACATGTCTGTAAGTACACAGTCAAACCCTCAGCCAAAACTCCCCCATCAACCCCCCAATAACACAAGCCCCAGTCCACCACAGCAACCTCTCAAACCACCTGCGACAATCCCTGGGCTCGTCCAGCTGGACCACGCAAATCATCCGCGCCAACACGACCGCCGAGCCGCCCACCGCACCGGCCCAGTACATCCCCCCGAAGCGCATCAACCAGCCCGCCACGGCAAGCAACCCCACCTCCGCCGCCGCCAACCCCGTCAACACCATCTTCGTCCGGCCCCGACACAACACCGCCATACTGAGCACGCCGGCCTTCAAGTCATCTTCCAGGTCCTGGTGCGCATACACCGTATCATAGATCATCGTGTGTACTACATACGACACGTACAGACATACCAGGGCCGTCTGGGTCATGGGGTCAAGAACACCGATATCCACGCCCAGAGACCCGTACCCGATGCCCTGGCTGAGGGCGAGGGATAGACCCAGGACGAGTTGGGGGAAGTGCGTGATGCGTTTGCAGAAGGGGTAGAAGGCCATTGAGCCGGCGAGGAGGGCTGCGGGCAGGTAGCTGGTAGAGGGGAGGGTGGATAGAGTTAGGATCCAGCAAAGGCCGAGGAAGAGTGCGAATGTGTGTGCTTGCGCTGCCGTAACGGCCCCCCGTGCTACGGGTCGGTTCTTGCATCGTGCGACTTGGCGGTCGTACGGCGCGTCGAGGGCGTCGTTGTATGCGCAGGCGGAGCCGCGGAGGAGGGTGTTGCTGAGGGCGTGGAGCATGGTCAGACTGGCAAGGTGGATGGGGGTTGGTCGCGGTGAGGTCAGGGTTGGGGAGGCGGCGGCGAGAAAGACTCCGATGAGATGCGGGACGTAGGCGGCGTAGATGCCAGCTGGTTGGTGGAGGCGCATCAGCTCGGCATAGGGAACTAGAGAGGAGGGTAAGGAGGAGAGGATGTTCGTCTTTTTGCTTGGCTGTGTAGGGGATGTGAGAGGGGCGGTGATGTTGAGCTTGATGGGGGCATTGTTGGCCAGGGACGCGGTTTGGGTGATTACGGCCGCCATGAGTAGAGTGAACACAATGAGGTAGTTTATGGGTGATGGTGTGCTAAGGGGACAGGATGGCGAGCAAGCAAGAGCTGGGATATGACCGTCCTTGTATTTATATAGAACCGATATAGAAGGGAGCAATATCAGTCTGTTAGGGCTTACCATGATACAGACCGTCAAAATGAGACATGGTATTGAGTCGGTATCGTACAGTTCTGACGGTTACGAGACACGGCTGCCTGAGGCGATAGTGAGATTACGGGCTACAACTTAATATATACGAACTGGGGGCGAAGCAGGGCACGGACGCCTAAGAATGATGACCATAGATTACCAGCAGGTTAGCGGATATAACTTGCGCCTGCCGTGCTGAGCAATGTCCGGTTGGCCCACCGTCAAGCATCTCAACCTGCAAGATTGACCATGACGAACATGGACAGCCTATTGTCCGCTCGTGGTGGCCTGAATGTCACCCAGGTGCTTGGCAGGATTCCGCCCCATGTGCTGAACCCAGCCTTGCATCGCGATGAGATTAATTTGTCCATGGCAGAGAACCAGGTGATTCGCCAAGAAATCCTGCAGTTGGCGAAGTCAGCCATTGAAACAAGTCTGCATGACGAGGTAGGTAATGACCTGGCTGTCTATCGGAATGCACGGCTAGACTTCTGCTGACCGTCTTCAGCACCTAGATTGGCCCAAGGGCTTCTTTGGCGATGCAACGCTGCTTGACCTCCTTGCGAGTACAGTCAACACTCACTTCCGCCCCCATTCCCAGGTAGCATCAGATAATATCGCGGTTACCGCCGGGGCGGCGGCTGGTCTGGATGCTATTTTGTACAATATTTGCAATCCGGGTGACGGGGTGCTCGTCCCATGCCCGTACTGGAGTGAGTGAGGTAGCTGGTTTACGCCATGGCTAGTAACGGTTACTAAATGTTTGCAGATGGATACGATGCACTGTTCGCTTTGCACTCCGAGGTCCGCCCTGTTGGTGTTGTCGTGCCTTCTCTCGAGGACTCCTTGGGGCCAGCTCTCCTCTCGGCATTGGACGAGTCATACGAGAATGCCCCTTGTCCGATCAAGGCACTCGTAATTGCTAATCCACACAACCCTCTCGGTCGACCATACTCCCGATCAATTCTCGAGCAATGCATGGCGTTCTGCCAACGGCGGAACATCCACCTGGTTTCAGATGAGGTGTTTGCCCTCAGTAGCTTCCCTAGCCCGGACTTCACGAACCCAGAGCCCTTTGTCTCTTGTCTAAGCATCGATCCCTCTCGTGTTGGATGTGATCCACAACGCATCCACGTCGTCTGGAGTATGAGCAAGGACCTTTCCGCCAGTGGCGTCCGACTGGTATGTTCACAGTTACTCTGGCCTTTTCCCTTTCATTAGTGGCCGAGTCCTGACCAAGAATTAGGGCTGCGTCGTAACCCGTAACCGGCCCCTCAGGGACGTTGTAGGGCTTGTGGCATCCGTACATGTATCGGTGTTGTCGACCGTCTTTGCGAAGGAAGTGCTCGCCTCACCACAGCTGCCGGAATTGTTGACACTCAGTGCTACCAGACTGGCAGAGACATACACCACGCTAACCACCGCATTCAACGCCACTGGAATTGAGTATTTCCCGAGCTATGCCACGGTGTTCGTTCTTGCTCGGCTGGCCCCCCACGCAACAACCTGGGACGAGGAGATGCTCGCCCTCCGCGCGTACATGCAGGCAGGCGTATCAGTGGTGCCAGGGAGAGCATATCATATGCCGGAGGGGCAGAAAGGATGGATGCGAGTCAGCTTTGCAGTGTCCAGTGAGGATTTGGCGGAGGGGATCCGGAGAATCAAGAGGGTTTATTTAAGTCTATTGGCATGAGGTGTGGTACTATGATGGGTCTGGCAAGGTTTCTGATTCATTACAGGGGCCATCGATAAGCAGCTAGGATCTGAAACAGCTCATAAAAGACACTGTCCTCCTCCTTCGAAGCCTGATCACTTCTCCGTGCATCGCATTGGCAGTCTTGATTTGGGTTCTGTATTACTAATCTAGCCAGGCAGCAACAGGCAGCACCCCGGATCATCGCTAGTATATACGTTCAACACCTCGTAGATAGTTGTACGATAGCATCGACCCAACCACCACAGAACCACAAAATGCCCACCCAGATAGCCAAGTCCGCATGGAAAGTGATTCCTATGTTCCAATCCACTTCGATTTCCCGCACGGTCCAATTCTACACTGAGATTCTCGGCTTCGAGCTTGGCAGTGTCAAACCCGAAGATGACACGTCCGAATTGACCTTTTGTTCGATTTTCATGGGTAAAAAAGCCGACGCCAACTTCTACTTCTCGAAAGCCTCTGTTGAAGAATTCAAAGCGTCCGAAGCCATGATTGCGCTAGGGACCCAGGAATTGGACGAGTATTACCGATACTTGAAAGGTCGCGAAGAGGTGGTAATCGCGGAGGACATTGAAGACATGCCCTGGGGCTTTCGCCAGTTTACCATCAGGGATCATGATGGGAATCGATTGACGTTCTTCAAGTTCTTGGAAGGGGGGAATCCGGGTGAAGAGTGAGAGGTTTCAAGTTGCGTTGCTGGTTTAGGTCTGGCAGAAGTGAACAGTTTAAGAGGGTTCTACGTGGGGGCATAATGGAGTGACTGTAAAGAGTGGAAGGCATAACTCCGAGGCTAAACTTGATTTATGATCCTCTACCTATACTGTCTGGAATTGAGGACCGCCCGCCTGCCTTGGTTACCTTTATCAAAAGTACACAGTATCGCTACAAGGCATACTAGATTAAGAAGCTATTCAAATGTACATGTGGCCTACATTCATATTATCCTTAGGTGGGCTGCAGTAGGTTCGGCTCGGGGGTTGGCAGGGGAGGACTTCGGAGGACAGGATTTCCGGGGAGCTGGACCAGGTGGGGAGTACTCCATAATGCCAAGATCTCAATCCACAGTGAGTGGATCAAGCTCTCCATAACGCCAAGAGTAAGTTTGCAAGTATAGAGTGTAGGAGCAAGTCCCAGTCAAGTCTCTGCTCAATGTCCTGTATCAGATCTAGACCGGGTCTTCGTTGTCCCCTCTTTGCGTGTAAGCAGGTGTCCACAGATAACCACTGATGCAGCGTTGGTGGTGAAATATGTTTTCTACTTCTTCATAATTGTTACTACGGCGAGTGTATTGCTTATTATGGATAAAAAGGCCTGAAGTCTTAAAGTTTCCTTGTAGACTACCCCATTCACGAATGCACCTCGTATCAGGACCTCTGGATGGACCTGCAATGTACAGTAGCAATAGGCGGGTTGAATCTTATTCCTGCTGATCTAGCTTGCACATGTAGTTCTATGTTGAGGATATACTTAGGGTTGTGGTGGTGATGACGACCTATTCCGCAGAGGACACAAACAACCCTAACAAGACTAAGTATTATCCCTGGCCGCACGGTCCAAAGCTTCTTTGAAGCAAGTCGCTTTGGCGAACTGATATTATCATAGTACTTGTAGGATTAAGTATGTCACATCCTATGAATTCGGATCAGAGGTATATACTAAACTCGTGGTATCTCCCCACTTGCCGCAACGATGAGTCGCGGGGATAAACGGGTTGGCTGATTGTTATGGCTGTTCGGCTGACTGGGCTGTTACCAGACTATCTTTCCATTAATCACAATGTATAACCACGATCTGGTCAATATTCAAGCGTTTGTAACATCGATGAAGCCGCTAGTAGCCATATTGCACGGATTTTATCGGTGCAGATTAGCTTGAATCTACGAGGCTTGGCGTAAGCAGCTTGCATGCAGCGGACTATGGAATGGTGCGGGACGGTCCATTCTACAAACCCTTATCTACATATACTAAGTCTCTACTACATACGCCATAGATCGGCAGCCAATCACTGTATTGATAGATCCGCTATTGGACATTCCACGGTCGAGCGAAAGTGAAATGTAAGGCGCTTATGTCGCCTTCCAAGTTGGTTTCAAAAAGCCGATATCCAAGCCAGTCATCTGATGACGCAGCATTTTACTTAGGAAGTAGCAGCTTGCATTAGTCCAGCGTTCAAACCCACGATTGCATCATATTCACTACCAGCACGCGGCATGGACCAGGTAATTCAGAACGTGTACTGCATAAGCACTCTACATCAGCGCCACAAACGCCAGCTCGCCTTCCACCGCAAAGTGCTCCAAAGGATGTAAAAGAGGAGCCCAAGGACCCAGTGTGGCCAGGAGATCGTGGCCCATGCTATTTCCTATCAATTGTCTGTAGCAGTGGGAAACCAGGGCTTGCGCAGGACAAGATGTCCGAAGGTGTTCTCCACTCTGCCCGGGATTACCCCCACACTGTCGAGCCAGTGGGTTGTCATCACAAAGCCCGTGCATCTAATCTCCGGCTCTTCGATTACTGTACCACATGTGGAGCGGTGTACATTCGCAGGTGTAGCTTTAGCTTAAATACTAAGGATGGATTGAGTCCCTCCCTCGTGGCTCTTGTTGTTCCTTGCTACTTCTCGTTATCTTTCCTCCACAGACTACAGCCGCACTTCCAATCATGACCATCGGCACAGACTCCGATTACAGCTTCCAGGGATGGATGGGCCTTGACAAGGACTCCGTTGGGAACATGAAATGGCAGAGCTATGAGCCGAAGCCATGGGAAGAAACCGACGTCGATATCAAAATCACTCACTCCGGCATCTGTGGCTCCGATTTGCACACGCTGCGTAGTGGTTGGGTTCGTATTTCCCCTTTGCCTCTTCCCAGTGTCCGCTTTTTCCTATTTGCTTAGAACTACTAACACACCCTTGGCAGGGCCCAACCATGTACCCATGCGTAGTCGGCCACGAGATAGTCGGCATCGCCGTGCGGGTGGGATCCGAGGTGAAGCACATCAAAGTCGGAGACCGAGTTGGCGTAGGCGCTCAGTCCGACTCCTGCCGCAACCGACGGGGTAAATGCAACGACTGCTCTTCCGGGCGGGAAAACGTTTGCTGGCGAGAAGGCCGCGCCGATACGTACAACGGCGTCTACTTGAACGGCGGCAAGTCCTACGGCGGCCACGCCGACTACAACCGTGCGCCGGGCCACTTCGTCGTCAAGATCCCGGAGCAGCTCAACCCCGCCCATGCCGCACCGATGCTCTGCGGTGGGGTCACTACCTATACGCCACTGAAGGCTAACGGGTGCGGACCGGGAAAGCGCGTGGGGGTGATCGGTGTCGGTGGGCTGGGCCATTTTGCGATTCTGTGGGCGAAGGCGCTTGGCGCCGATCGAGTGGTCGGGGTTTCACGCAGGGAATCCAAGCGTGCCGATGTGCTGAAGCTAGGTGCCGATGATTACATCGCAACCGAGGATGAGAAGGACTGGGCTCAGACTCATGCTGCCAGCTTGGATCTTATTATCTGCACGGTTTCGTCGCCGGACATGCCGCTGCGCGACTATATGGGCTTGCTTGATTCCTATGGTCGGTTGGTTCAGGTGGGTGCACCTGAAGATAAGCTTCCTGTTCTTTATGCCTTCGACTTCATTCCGAAGGGGAAGTCGATCTCAGGAAGCGTCATCGGGTCACCCAGGGAGATCGAGGAGATGCTCCAGTTGGCGGTTGAGAAAAACGTTCAGCCATGGGTGGTGGAACGGCCGCTAAAGGAGGCGAACCAGGCATTTATCGATATGGAGAACGGTCTGGCGAGATATCGGTATACACTTGTAAATGAGAAGCATCTTTGAGAACGGGGCAGGGTTAGTGGCGTTTGAATGTATTCTGGTTGATCTGTAGATATACTCCAAGATGCACGTGAGCTTCTAGGCTGAATACGGATTAGATATGTTTAGGGCAAGGCTGACGGCTGATCATCCCAAGTCTGACTATAAAACGCGTTATGAATCAAGGACCAGGCGCACTAATCACGCAGGGGGGAAATTTAAAATAAACAACAGCGGTGCGACTAACTACCAAGGCTTAGCCTCATATGTGCTCCATCCTTCGCAAGCCTCTTATAATTGGACAATTGATGGTGGAAAGCCAATTAAAATGCACAATGTCGCGAACACCACGCGTCAATCACTGGATGAGCTCCGCATAGTAGAGATAATGCAAGCCATCGAACGAGGTCAAATCGATGCAGCACAATCTCTCCTCAATGGTGTATCGCCTAACATTCAGGACCGCACGGGCCGAACCGTCTTTTCCCGAACTGTCTCTTTCATTGCAAAACAAGATCTCCCGAACCGCCTCAATGCAGACGTTCTCTTTGAGCTGCTCATTGCCAGAGGTGCCGACCCCGACCTTGGAGACCATACCGGAGAAGCACCCCTGCATTGGGCGGCAAAAGCGGGAGACCATGAGATGGTGTGCCTACTCTTGCAAAAGGGTGCTCAGTCGGACCTCGCAGACAAATGGGGCCGCACACCGTTATCCCGAGCTGCAGAGAGGGGCCATAATCCCGTGGTCGAGCGACTCTTAGTTGACGGTCGTGCAGATTCTAACAGTAGAGACAGGCGCGGTCGGACACCGTTATCTTGGGCTGCTGAGAACTCACATTTACACATCGTGGAGACACTAGTAGACCGCGGTGCCGATGTCGAGATCCGTGATAATGAGGGACAGATACCCTTGTGGTGGTTTCTAAACAATACAGACCGAGGTACGGATGATCGAGAAACTGAAAACGAGCCGGTGGACTTCCAGCGATGGTGTTCAATCCTTGGTCCCAAAGGAAACATAGAGCCAGTTACCAAGAAACGACGAACATTTTTGGCTTGGGCCTGTGAGCGAGGCGATCGGCGGCTGGTCCAAGAATTGCTCCGAACGACGTGGACGGATCCGAACTCGATTGATCGCCATAGGAAGACGCCGCTTATCTATGCTTTGGAGTGGAAACACTACGAAATAGCCGACATGCTTATGTCTGGGGTAGACCCGGAGACCAGGAAAAAGGACTGCGTGTCACTGCATCTTCTTATACGAGAAGGCCGCGCCCGCCTCTTGAAACTGTTCTTGGAGCGATACACATCCAATCTGAAGAAGGAGGATACATACAGTGCAATCCCTCTCATGAGAATGGCCCTCCAGCAGAGTGACCGGCCAACCGTGAGGCTACTCTTAGACTATAAAGCAAGTACGCAGGGGCTCAAAAGCAGCGATTGGTTTGGGCCCTGTAGCACATTGAGCGCGGCCGAACCTCTAGTGGGCCTGAATAAAGCGAACTGGGATGGTTATTCCTCTATACCAGTAATGGAAATGACAATCCAGGAGCGTGATCGCACTGCGGTTGCCACTTTACTCGGGAAACGTGCTCGAATCCTTGAGCTCGAGGACGACGATGACGACTTTGCCCAGTACTCTAGTAACATCCAGCAGAGCTTTGCTGTGGATATAATGACGCTGAAAGACGGACGGCAGGACGTAGAGTGGATTTCGGAGGACACATTTGACCAGAAAATGAGAAAAATGGCAAAGAGCCCCGACGAGAGTCATCTGATGTGAGTTGGCCTGGCCCCTATGTATGCTCTCCCAACTTATCACGACCTATATATCATCAGACTCTTTCGAGAGAACCAGCCGTGGAACACATATTGCCAGATGGACAATCTTCCCAACGAACTCAAGTTCTCTCTGGGCAATAGAAGTCCATGCAGGACTTTTAGTCTGTCGATAATCACGCGATTCCAGCACATGAAGGCCGCGCAGGACTCTCCTGAAGACCACGGTGGCGAGCATTATCGTGTCCGAACAATTGAATGGTCGGTACTTGAAGCGCCTCCTAAAACCATTCACTATTTCAGTAATCTGCCATTCGGTTGGACCCCGCAAAGCGACTTGGAGTTTATCGGGCTTTTCATGCAAACCTGGAAGGACGACTGGATAAGCTTCTGTCGAGATGAAAGGAGACATCTTGGGCACTTGGTAAGTAATCGAGGGAGAAATTGCTGTTGGGTACACGAAGCTAACTTCTGGGCTGATAGCGATCATATCAGCTAGCCGCTGCTGGCAAAGATGACTTTCTGATTGACGCTATAGCGGGGAATATGCAAAGGTGGACCCAAATGCAGTGGATGCTGGAAGACCAGCTGAACCAGGCGAGGGAATTTGTTGCACAGTACCAAGCTTTCACTGAGAGTCGGCAGCTCAGCGAGCACATGGGTAAGATTATCACTACGTTCGAACATGATGTTTCAAGTCAGATCGACAAAATGGAACAAGGGATTCGGGACCTGCTTCAAGTGGTACGTGGTCAATGCCTTCGCTGCGCGGTGGTTCCTATGGTCTACTTCTAACACGATATTGCCCAGGAATTTGCATGGGTATCAATCAACGAAGCTCACCGGTCGACTAGTCTAGCCGCGAGCATGAAGCGGCTGAGTTGGATCACAGTAACATTATGAGCTCCAGCTCACTTGGACGTTGACTGACAAGCCTAGTTTATATTCCTCCCTCTTATGTTTGCCTCGGTAGGTACCACCAGCTCTGATGCCACAGCGATACCTGACCTATATAGAGTCTTCTCGGAATGAACGTGGACATCCTGAAAGATGACCCGAGTTGGTGGTGGTTTCTCATCATTGGAGGGTCCCTGACATTTCTCACGGTAGTGTCTTGGGTCGGCACTAGATTTACACGAGTCAGTTACCGTCTGAATTGCCGTGGCTCGAAATATGCTAATTGTTGCCAGTTTGAAACGTGGTTAGAGCACATACTGTGGCCACAGCCGAAGCGAAAGCAATATTCTTTCGACCACAATATGCGGCCATTAAGCAGGCCGTTGCCGCCTTAGCGGGGTAGCTCTCAGTAAACTGCCCTATCGTACTAACTACAATATTCATTGAACGTTCATCTTCTACGGCCTGATAGGATGTGCAATGTACATTCTGCGTACATTTTTACTGAACCTCCAGTCGCTGGCAAACACAAAATATGGATGTCAACTCTTATGGTCATTAAGGGTCCTTCCATTCCTAGTTTCTATGGTACTTTAAATGAATTCCACCCCCGCGCCGCTCTGGCATGACTGGCTGCTTTACAGAGTCTTATACCTTCTCAAGCTCCATATAAATATGCTCAAGAATACAGCACCGTGCTCGTGCGGCTATCTTAAGGATCTTTGCAAATATTAAGAGTTGATTGGGCAATCCATAAAACCCTGCCCGGACCCCTGAATTGGCATGAATTCTGTCAAGACCTGAAGGGTAGATCTCAGGTTGGAAGGTCCTAACCCTGGGTTGGTGGGGAACCCCTAGGTTAAGCTGGGTCTATGGGTCGAGTCTACAGGCGCAGTGTACTCCAGAGTCCGTCGACTGGAGCTTTTGTACAGACTCGATTTGCAGCTACGATGCGATAAGCCATTACAGGTAATATGAAATTGCTCTCTAGATTGACTGCTTCATTCTAAGCAATACCATTTGTGAAAATCCATTATCAGAACAGGATCCGATATCACTCGTTCTCCTTTAGTTCTCCAAACCCTTTAAGGAATTCTATCCACTTGAGTCAGTACGAGCGAACAAGTTCTAATGCTGGCTAGGGATTCTAGAGAAGGTAACATACCGCTAAACGAGACTTTTCCGTCGTGATTTTCATCCAGTTCGTCGACCCACGCCTTAGCCTGCTCGTCGGTAATGTCCAACCCTTCTTTCTTCGCATGCGCAATGAGCTCGTAGGGTTCGATATAACCTAATGGGTCAGATACAAGAGTCGCGAGGGCCAGTAGGTCTGTGAAGGTACTTACGATCACCGTTGCCGTTCTTTCAGATCATATGAAATTAGCAGCAGCCATGCAGAGTAGTCATTTGCATGCACTTACAATCGCCGTAAATCTATCCTTCCAGAAATCAATCTCTTCACGTGTGTAACGACCCTGTCGCATAAGTGATATTAGACCAAGTCTTAGACCATTCGCTGCAAGGCAGCTCACCATGATTTTTTCGTGTAGTGTATTCTCGACGGTTTTTGCTTCAATTGCAGGCTTGAGGAATTGCACCAGGCTTTCGTTGGGATGTGCCAACAGATCACACTATATATATACCCTGGCCAGCCATGGAGTAACTCTAATCCATAGCATCCGGTTTCCTCCAATTAATGTAGCTCCCAGGGCTATGCATGAACCATATTTCGTGAGGGATTTTCATACCAATTACGTTTGAGCCATGTTGGTAGCTCAAGCTCGTCGTGCGTAGCCAGAAGATACATTATCGAATATGCCCACCAAGCGGAGAGCATAGGCCCTCCACCGGCAAGACTATTCTCTGCCTGGTCAGAGGGGACCTGCGAATGATGGGCCGAAAGCAACTGACATGGCGTGTGCAGGGCTTATACTTTTGCCGACGAGGCTAGGCATTGCGTTATTGGCACGATCTACATCAGAGTTGGTCTTCGGGTTGCGGGGCTCGATGTCCGTAGTACCAGAAACAAGTGGACGATTGTTCTGTATTCTAGAGGATCGTCAAGTTTGAGATTCTCTGTTATGGTCCCAATATAGTGGAGGTCGGAATCTACCAATTGTCAGGGTTTTAGGGTCCGCTAGTGGAGCTGTGCCCAGCTCAGCTGAACTGAGGGGTACATGCATACAGCAGTGCATCGTTAGTATAAAGTATAAGAAACGGAAACGGAAAATGGAGGACCAACAAGTAGGTTGGTTCCGATGGCTCAGAACCACGCTCTTGCTACATCCAGTGAGGGGGATGTTTTCGTCATGGCGGTGCTAAAGGTATGTGCCAGCGTGAGTATGTATGTCATCCAGACAACTTGTCCCTTGACACTAATGCAACGGCACCCCCGTAAATTCTTCGGCCTCGCTTGGATCGCTTGGTTAGCTTTCCGGGCGACCTGTGACTTCTATTTCTCCATATGTTGACGCTTGATAGATGAGTTGGCAATGCATCAACCCCGCTGATCATTACCGTACTAGGCTAATGAATGTGAGGTCCACCACGATGTATGAATTCTCCATCGCTTCAAGCCGCAGCCGAGGATTGCAACACAGTGGCGTAGCTGAATAGTTAAGCTGGGCTATCAGTGAACTGACCGGTAGCCACATTACATTCTGGTGGATTCGCCAGATTTTATCGATCATTCTCGACGAAAGACCCGGCCCCGGAACTGACTTTTACTCAGTAGTTGGATTCTGGCAGAAGCAAGCGACAGATTGATAAAGCTGTAGTATATGGCACGCGGCAAGTCTCGCTTCCCCCATTTGCAGTGGACCTCCTGGTCAGTGGTCACCTCAGTGAGCTCGACTGACTTCCAAAGTAAAAGGCCACCTAGCAAAGACACAACAGCTACACTTGATAAATTTCTAACCTAGCCAATCATCAGCATCGAATTCGCCTGCTGGTCGATCTTAGTAGCTGCCGATCAGTAGTGGGCCTAGAGACTTCTCAGTCGCTTATAGTCGGGAGTACTCTGCTATGGTTCGCCTTCCTCGTCTTGGACGTGCTCAAGACCAAATAGCCTGATGTTGAGCACATGCGAGATAGATACTGAAAACTCCGTGGAAATATGAACTGCCAAATCAGAAGTTCGATCGTATATCTCATAACGGAGCAATACGGGGGGACATTTAATAGGAAGGATAGTTGCAAGTTGCTCATAAGTCAAAGTTAAATCGAGATCATTGACGTGTTTACTGGCGAAATATAGGTGCCAAGGTAGGGTACTAGCGCAGCACAGACTACCTCTATAGTGCTATGTGCATTACTACATGCGCAATCCTTCTTTCATTCTCATTGCGTGATCCTCACACCAGAGTGCATCAGTTCTATTCTCTATCAGTGATCGGACATCCGCCGAAGATATACGATCCGATCAAGATCCAGCGATAATGATGGAGCCCGGATAGTGGGTGCAGGTCGATACCGCGACGTACTGCTCCGTAGGGCATAAAGTCAGAAATATGTATTGAAATAAAAGCCCCGATTCTGTGAATTCAAGCTTTATCTGAGTGAAATGCACTACTCGTATTGGCCCGAGAAATGTGCATTTACATGCAGGATTCGAGAAGCTCATGGTACAGCACTGGCAATAGTGCGATTCATAGGTGCTTGTCAAATGTGGGACCACAACGCTTGATTTGAATGAGCGAGGAGATTATTCAGTATCCAATGACGAATCCTCAGGCCTCTATCCGTTACTTACAAGCTTATCCTTGATTCCGCGCAACTAGCTAATTCTAGACAATATCGCGATCACCACGCGATCTTAGCGTCTATTTTGGGCTGGGGTGGTTTCACGTTGAGCTTAAGTTTATAATTTTATAATGACTTTATCTCGCGAGTAAGTGATAAAAGTCTATGCAATCTAGGAATGAGATGATCTACCACTTTAATAAGAAGAAAATTAATATACCTCACGAGGAACTCTCGTGAGGCGAAAACTTTACGAAGTAGCCTACTGGTAGTTTATAAAAGCCTACACATTGCAGAAGTCCTTCGTAAATCCCTATTACAATATAGCCCTTCCATGGATTAAGTCAGGCACAAGTGCATACATTCAGTGATCCATAAACTATCGTCCTCTTTTCATTGGCACGAGAGAGAGGCTACGGAAACATCCCAGGTCAGAAAACAGTTGAACATTCAACCGTAGCGAAGAAGTTCACAAGATCAGATTTTCGGATTTCCTACTGAAATTTTAGCGTTTTACATTAAGCCACGCACCTTCTAAAGATTTAGTGTCTTGCTGCCCCGAACATCACTACTATGCCCCCGGGACTAGGGCTCTTACAGACCCAGTACTGGCACCCCAAACCACCTAGTACTGGCGCCCCTAAAAATCTAAGATACTCTCAAAGACGGTCAATATCTCAGAACTGAACTAGTTGATAATCCAAAATTCTAAGGTTAATTGAGAGTATATAGTTCGTTTAAACATAGGAGAGAACCTAGTAAATAGCTATAATTAGTCAATATAGTATAGTAGTATGTTGATATTGGTAAAGTTGGTAATATCTTAGCTCAATTTAGTCCACTGATATATCACCTGATTTCTTAGTAAGCTAGGGCTTAGTTAACTATAAATAGCAATATTAGTTATATGGTTGGCAACCTAAAACTTCTCTCCTCTTACTCTAGAATTCTAGAGTAGAACCAGTTGTTTTCCTTGAGGCGTTTCTTTAAACCCCTAGATAGATTACACTGATATTCAATATGACCACAGCACGCGCACAGCTGAGAAATACCTGGGTCGAATTCTCGTCGGCTCCTGGCGTTATTCAAGGGGGTATTTCAGCAGCAAATAATCTCACCGCAAAACAGTTCTTAGATATGATGCACGTCCTCTTTTCTGCAGCTGGAGCTTTGAAACGCGCCGATATCGTTCACGGGTGGCCTTGAGGCCTACCAACACAAGGATACAACATGGAATTTATATCCTAACTCCCTATATTGCAGGAGAAGTTATGGCCACTACTGATGACCGCTATTACCCTCGTACACTTTCAATCTCACCATCAACCCGAGAAGAGGCATTCCGGGACCAAGTTCGTGCGCGAGATGGCCGGTGTGTCATCACCGGTCAAGTTAATCGTCAAGCACACGTGGGCATATGGACCAGATATCAGGCAGCCCACATCTTCCCCCTTTCATTGGATGGGATTTTCCAAAGCCACGGATTTGCCAACATAATCACACACAATTATCCGTCGGGGATTAACTCCCCGCAAAATGGACTCTTACTTCGAAGTGACATTCACGACTTGTGGGATCATTATTCAATTGCTGTCAACCCAAACGATGGGTACAGGATCCAAAGCTTCACACCGGAAGCTTGGGAGTACCAGGGAAAGGTCCTTCACCCCGTCTGCCGTGACCCAAACAATGCCACTCATGTCATCGATGCACTTCTCCTGTGGCATTATGAGCAAGCGGTACTCTGCAACATGCGGGGGGCTGGGGAGCCATCGTTTGAATATGATTTTCCACCAGGCACTGATATGATGGCAGAAATTCGCGATGGCCCCCAGCCCGCCCAACGCATGGAGGCAGAGCTATTCGGTAGATTATATGGGCATCATCAAGCCCAGCCACCATCCACCTAATCAGGGATTTCTTTTTTCTCTCTTTTCTTCCTTTTTTTCTTTTTTTTTTTTGACGAGCGTCGAAATCTAGCAGAACTATTGAAAATCTTCATTCTTGCAATACAAAGCTCTTACACTAGCTTGTAAACCAGAAAACATAGACCTTCTAAGATTCCAGAACACGTAATATGTGACGGAGCTTGCGTTTCTTAATTTCAGCTGTCACTCTTCTTCACCACCACTTTCTAAAATCTAGCGCTAGGATGTATACCTACCAGGGTTTTTCCAAGTCCGATAGGCTTGATATTCTCTTTAGTGCCCGGTCCTGGCTTATCCCTTGCTTCTCGTCCCTTATACAGTGGATTTAAATATTTTCTAAATGGTTCTAGATAGTTACAGTCATTGGCTAAACATAGTGCTATACCAACTTTCTGCTAGTACTCCCACCACACTCAAGAGCAGATAATGCATGGGATCATCTTGTCTATAGTAGGGAGAAAGCATATGTTCCTCCCCTTATATATAGTAGTTTCCTGCGGCAGTTCTGAAGTTGTTCGAGATCAAAGCCAACTGCTTGACTATTGTCTGTAAGCTCGATTGAGTCCGCCGTAATACCCCCAATACTAATATATAGCTATAATGAAGTGTTCGTCATTCTCCACACAAGGCATTGTAGCGGCAGTGGATCCTGGAGGTAGAAGAAGAAAATAAAAGCATTCCGAATATGGCAACCCCGACTAATCCTTTCAAGGACGCTGGAGTCCCTCAAAACATACTCTCTTTAGATCGCTTTAGTCATTTTAGGCACAGGCGCAGATCTAGCTTCGGGTAACTCAAGGTGAGAGCACATCATCCGACAATCCAACACACACTGGGGCAGTCTGTACCTAATAGTACGCCGCGTTTCCCAAATAAAAGGAATATTCATTAACCATGGGTATATCTAGATTAAATAATAACTGTTTGAATGAGAATGAAGGAAGACCGCCATGAAAACTCCATTTCACCACATGAATGCTAAATACTATCACAAGACTTGGTGGTATTTCCTTCTCGCGGCCCCCTCCCTTTCCTTCTGGGAGGGACATGTGTGAACCGCCTATAGGCCAAAAATGACGATCCTTTCAATGGGCAGTGGCATATTGAGGTGGCCTTAGATACGTATCGTCATATCTTGGCAGAGTATCGTCCACGTAGAATTCGCTCAGCGAAATACTGTCCCCACTGACGAAATTCTGAACCGAAAGAGGGAAAATAGCATTGAAGGACTTCATGCGGGGCCTGCGATCTACAAGTCTTCCAGTTGCCTCGTCAAACGTATCCTGGCCCGTGATTACTTCCAGTATCAGATTATGCTCGACTGTGACGCCGGTTGTTTCGCTCGGACTGCAACCGCAAGTCTTCTCCTGGTGATGACAGAGATATGAAAGCAACCCTATTCCGTCTGCTGCCTTCACATTTGCCGGAATGCTGATGTCAAACGGAATCTCAATCGTATGGTCGCCTCCTTGTAAGCCTCCACTGGCTATCCAGTGGCCTTTCTGTTTTCCCTCGCATAATTGCCGTACACGTTGCTCTTTGCAGGTTGTCGCTACTGCGTCTCTTTGCGAGTCCCCGCCCCGCGAGATCGCGAGGTACTTGACGGTCTCTTCTACTCTCCACTTCAGCTCTTTGCCCACCACATATTTCACTTCCATGTCTCGCGCTCCCTTTGCAATGGTTGAATGGGCCAGCCATTCTAGTGAATACCCTACTTTGGTCTCCTCGGGTGAGTCTGAGTATAGTTGCTTCGGGATCAGGGATAGTTCCGTCAGTACCCTTTCACCCGGATACTGTCGGATATGTCGGATTGGCTCCGAGACCACACGGCGTGACATCTTTACTTGCTGCGTGTCTGTCAGGATCCTTGTGCCGGATATCGTTGAGGTTACCGTGGCCGTGATCGCATAGGACACGCTGCCTAGGATGGTCTCTGTCGTCGGCGGGATATTGCTCGGGATCGGCAGGTAGAAATTGAATCTCAGCCATGTTTCATCCTCGCCCTCTGTGGGGTCTATCTCATCCGGGGCATGGCAGAGGTCATATTGTACTAGCGTCTCAACTTTGGGCTCTAGGCATGTGGTCGCGTGGGGAGAGTTCTGCGTGCTGGATGATTTGTGCGTCTGGTTGCGTTTAAAGAAGAAACTATAGCTCTTATTGCTGCTGGGGACCGCAACATCAGGGGGCTTGGGTGCCACTGATCGCGTAAGACTAATTTCAAATTGGGGATAATTGTCCGTGGACGATGTTAAGCTAGAAGAGGGAACTGCGATGGCAATGGAGCCAGTAATCGGCGGAGCATGACTTTCACCAGCTGACTCCAGCAGCGTATGGGTGCTTGGCACAGTCAATCGTAAGCCCCAGGCTTCCATAGCATATCATCGAGGTGGTGGTGAAATAAATGCTGTTTCGAGCAGGAATGAAAGATCGGGAAGGGAGCCCGGGGAGGAAGCTTCCACTATGTACTAATAACCCTCATCGATGGGCAACCTCTGGTAGCTAGTCAAGGTCTGTGCACATCAGGAGTGTAAGAACGTCTATTGGGATGACCGGTTGCTTGCCCTAACTGTGCAGGTGTTAATATAACCTAATGGTGTCTCTGGCACTCCACGCGTCCGTGTCGAGGATCGGTGGAGACATGCCAAGTGTCCAAACAGGAAGCCAAGCAGGAAATTTTACCTTTTGCGTGATGGTTGGGATCCACTAGCCCGTCAAGCCTTCGGACGGGCTTCTCATCGGCAAAACTGCGCGTCGTGGAGCCATGCGAATTTTGTAAGACCGGGCGCTTGACAGGTCTTGGGCTATGAATTCATTCCATGGACAGCGGTGATATGCTGGAATACTGTGTCCAATCTTGTTATATCCATGCCATGCCAGCAACGCTTGGTCTCCCCCGGAATTAGATAAGCAGGGTTTGTAAGCCGTATTATATGGCATTGGTGAACGATCGCAAGCGCATCTTTTTGCCCCTCGGTCTTTCTTGACTGATAGCGGACGATCAGTTCGTGCTCAACCATCACGGCTCCCTTCGTCTCATCTCCGAGGGGGATATCAATTTCCGCGTATGACCGCCCCTTCGATGAACGTTGCGTCTAAAGGTAAAATGATGAACCCCCATGGAAAAGGATTTCCCAGCACGTCTCACCAACCAATAATGTGGCCAGGTAGACTGTCCGAAATGTAAATCGCGCCGCATCCAATGTGATAGGACCTTACCCGGGTGCCGAAAGTGCTTGCGGCGGAACTACGAATGTCCCGGCTATGGATTAATTCTCCGATGGAAGCAAGAGGTCCCCAGTAGAGGAAGACTGGCCGAAGGAGACAGAGACCCAGTCCCTGGGACCTCTGGCCGGGCCCTACATGGAGTTGTATCTCTGACATCAGTAGACCGTGGACCAAGCTCCCCACTTGATAGTTTCTCTGGTCAATTGCTGCATCATTTCAGCGAAAGCATTGCGAAGAAGCTCGCCTGGGTGGACGGCCCAGAAAACCCATGGCGACAGATTATACTTCCCCTATCCCATGCCTCGCCGATCGTACGCTACTCCTTGCTCGCCATGTCGTCGGAGGATCTCACACATAAATATACCATCGACCGTCCCTACTTCCATCAACTCAACGCTCAGTCGCTATATTACCGGGACAAAGTCTTATGCCTCTTACCACGACATCTAGAACGTCTTTTGAAAGCTCCCGTATCGTTTGATGGTGCGAATCAGGCACGGTTCGCTCTGGCAACCGTCCTCGTTCTCTACAACCTCGAACTATTCGCGGCCAAGGCGACCCAACGGCGACTACACATCCAGGGGGCTCGCGCAATCATCCAATGGAAGCTTCAGGCGATTGGACGTCACCTACCTCCCGACGTCGCCGACAATTTTCTCCGTTACGAATACTACTTCACCGCCGTCTTCAACGGCTTGACCACGTTTGATGCAACCTACGATGTCATTGACGATATCCCAATCCACGACAAGATCGCCGTCTTTGGGGACTTTGTCCGGATCATGCACTCCGTCACCCGAGCCGAGCGACTTCAGTTTAGTGGGAGTTCGGATACCGAAACGACACGGGTGGAAGATGTCGTGGACGAAATTGAAACCGCAAGGGGTCGAGCACTCCAGCTCAATCAGATCATGCGGTTTCAGTATCCCGACGCACGGCACGATTTCGAACACCTGACCCATATCTATTACCATGCGAGCTTGATCTACAGTCACCGTGTGCTCTCGGACTTCGCGTCGTTCAACGACCTCATGCGGGCCTCTCGAGACGCGATTCTCGAACACTTATCGCACCTCATGGAGCGGGCATATTTCGCTCACGACCTCGTTTGGCCCCTGTTCATATGCGGGACAGAATGCCGAGGTTTCCCGGAGAAGCAGGATACCATCGAACGGGCCCTTTTGGGGGTGATTCGTCTGAGCGGGAGTCTGGAACGGCGGCGAGTGTTATCCTTTTTAAGGATGTTTTGGCAGCTGGACTGCGACGATGGGCCGGTGAGTTGGATTGCGGTGGCGAGGAGTCGGGCGGCCGACTGTAGTTTCGTGATAATCTGACATGCGAATACTACCTGCCCCTCATTCCGCCAATCTTTCTGCCTGCCCAACGTGGACGGCCACTTCCGAGATAAGATTGGCGCCTACCGGTTTACGTAGGCGGTGTCCCGCATAGTGGGGTGGTGGCAGTGCTCAGTCGCCACTCGGCGTTAGCCTAAAGTCTGTTTGTGCCACCCGGTTTCCCTTCTCGGTGTAGTGGGAAGACCCACCGACATTCTGGGGAAAATGCGATTCGTATTCCTGCCGCCGAGCCAGTCAGCGTCGTCCTTCATCGCCATCCCGGTCCCTTAGTCATAACCTCTCTTAATCTCTGGCATCGGACTGGCCGCCTTCTCAACCCTTTTTCCTTTTTCCTTTTTCCAATTTTTTTTTTTAAAGTAAAACATTTTCTGACACTCCTCGCCCACGTGCTTTTTTTTCTTTTTTTTTTTTTGGTTGTTGCTCGGTTTCCTCTTTCTCTCCTTTTCTTCCCCATTATCCCTAGAAACCGGAACACGCTCAACAGCCTTTATGCGATTGACCCATAGCGCCTCATTACGCCCAGCGCACCTGAATCGTCTTTTGACGTCTAACCGACATCCACGTTAATTAGTCTCCCGACTAGCCAGCCCATCATGGACCCGCCCAAGATGGACAAGATCACGGCAGATTCCAACCTCGAAGCGCTTGGATACACGCCCGAGTTGTCTCGCAATCGATCAACATGGCAGGTAGTCTTCATGGTGTTCATTCTGGCCTCCGTGCCATACGGTCTCTCGACTACCATGTTATACTCCATTGCGGGAGGTGGCTCGGCCAATATGATCTGGGGTTGGATCTTGGTATCCCTGATCATGTTGTGTGTCGCCGCATCGCTCGCCGAGGTCACATCTGTCTATCCCACCGCCGGCGGTGTCTACTACCAAACCTTTGCCCTGTCCCCGGTTAAGTATCGCCGCGTGGCCGCCTGGATCTGCGGCTGGGCCTTTATCGCCGGCAACATCACCATCACCTTGGCTGTGAACTTCGCTACCGCGCTGTTTCTGATCGAGAGTCTCAATGTGTTTACCGACGCTGCGGGCGTCGGCATCACAGAAGACTTCCAGGCCTATCAGACCTATCTGATCTTTCTAGGCATCACACTCGTTTGCCATGTCATTCCTGCCTTTGGGAATAAGTGGCTAACCCACCTGGAGGTATATCAAGCTATCATCACAGCGCAGACTTGACCTTTTTTTTTTCCTTTTTTAGACCTCCATGCCCACGTTACTAATCACACTTGTATACTCGACCTTTAGACCTTTGCCATCTTCTGGACCCTGGTAGGCGTGACTGCCATCATCATCACCATTCTGGTCGTCGCCAGTAATGGCAGACACACTGCCAAATATGTCTTCACCGATTTCTCTCCGCAATCCGGCTGGCCGGAAGGCTGGTCCTTCTGTATCGGTTTACTGCAAGCTGCCTACGCGCTCTCGGCCACCGGCATGATCACCTCGTAGGCCTTTGCCATCATCTATGCCCGTCGCGAAAAAAAAAAACAAAAGCCCAAACTAACGTTGTCCCGAATCAGCATGTGTGAAGAAGTCCGCGCGCCAGCCATCCAAGTTCCCAAAGCGATCGTCGGCGGCCTGACCCTGAACGCCCTGGCCGGTCTCGCCTTTTTGATCCCCATCGCGTTTGTCCTGCCCGATATCTCCTACCTGGCGAATCTCCCATCCGGTCAACCCGTGCCGCCCATTTTCAAAGCCGCCACCGGCAACTCCGCCGGCGCCTTCTGCCTGCTCATCCCATTGTTGATCCTCGGTATCATCTGTGGTGTAGGTTGCGTAACTGCGGCATCCCGAAGCGTCTGGGCCTTCGCCCGTGACGGAGCCATCCCGGGCTCCAAGTGGTTCAAGAAGGTCGAGCCGCGTCTCGACAACATCCCCCTGAACGCGATGCTCCTCGGCATGGTAGTCGAACTCCTGCTCGGTCTGATCTACTTCGGCTCCACGGCCGCGTACAACGCCTTCTCCGGTGTCGGTGTCATGTTCTTAACCCTCAGCTACGCCTGCCCCGTTGCGGTTTCCCTCCTTCTCCGAAAGCGCCAAGATATTAAGAACTGCAGCTTCAACCTCGGCCCCCTGGGTCTGTTCTGTAACATCGTCTGTCTCGGTAAGTGGACTTGGTTCTGCCCTCCCATAACCCTCGTCCCTGCAACATCCACAGACAAAATTCTAATATCTGCCGATGCCCAATGCAGCATGGACCTGTCTTGCCATCCCACTCTTCTCCATGCCCACGTTTATGGAGGTCACCCAAGAAACCATGAACTACGCCTCGGTCGTCTTCGTCGGCTTCTTCATCATCTCGGCCGTATGGTACTGGGTGTGGGGGTATCAGAACTACGCCGGTCCCCCGACGGAAGAGGGTATGGAGGGTGTCCATACCGACTAGGGGACGGGCACAACCTCCATGTTGCAAATTTTGCCCTGGCTGAGACGCACGCTGGAGTTACCGGGATTGACGTCTTCATGCCAGTATGTATAGTCAGCTTACATGTATATCAATATTACGGCCAGATAAGCATTATTTTCTTGCATTTGGATTCCTCCGCCGTAGAAGTGGCTACCGTTCCTCCTACATCGCTCGCCCATATCCTGTATTAGAAGTAACGTCCAGAACCCCTGGTGGCCAGATACCTCTACAGGGTCCAGTGGAGAAGGTTGGGACCGGGACATCTGGAACTGGCATAGTCGCAGCAAATCACTGCGCGCTACGCAAGAGGAGGCGGAACGCCGTTCCCAAGACAACCCACATCAGCCCCTGCCGAGCCAAATAACTTCTTATATATCCGTCACCATAAGCTCATAACAGCAAGATTGTGAAAGTCAGCGACTATAGGAGATGAATCAATGTGGAATCTATAATGAAAATCTATAGCGGCGTCATGGCCTCCACACTTCTCACTGCTAAGGGCTTTTTCACTGGCCAGGCAATAAATAGTGATCGTAGACTCCCTGAGTCTGACCACTCTGTCCGCAAAGAGCCTTTCCTTTGGACAATCTGCTACAGTACGGATCTGAAGACGAAGACTTGGCAAGAGAAGCCGCATTCATTGAGCAATCCCATCGTCGCCTAACAAACAATACGCATCTCGAGCATGATAGACACACGGGCCGCCATTGCTGCGCCCCAATTTAACAACAACAAGACATCGAGCACCCTATACTATGTAATTGGCTTCAATCATCAAATCCCCATTGTTGTTGAAAATCGGCTTCTCACACGACAACGCGGCGTTGCCGGGAATCACGAACCGAGCCGAGGTGTTGAGGTCCCTCTCCAGGCTTTTCTCGAGCTCAGCAAACGAGGCATTCTGGAATTGCCGCACGGGGTCGTCCTGTAGACTCTGATATTTTAAAGGAGACTCACAATGCGAGGTGGAAGATCACCGTTGGGCGCATGCGAGATCTGGATCCTGGAATCTGTTGCCCAGCTGGACTTTGCGGTCTCCCATTCGATCGATGGCGCTGCTGAGTATCGCATGGCTCTGCAGAATTATAGTATTCACAGGAAGAGGGTGGCCCAGGCGGACGCTCAGGCCACCAAGGCAGGACAGGAATACGTGCTGGCAGAGATGGCAGTGATCACCTGTCAGAAGGACTCTCAAGACCTAAATCGACGGTCCAGTTCCCGCGATGATGTGTCTCTCATTGATGGCGCGATGAACAACGTCAACTCCAAGTATGACCGCATCCTACAGAGTAAGTCTTTCTACGCTGCAAACAATCTCTGGCCTGCACGTAGCAAACCCACTAACCCAATCACCCCCCGAGCTCACGCAAACGGTGTCATCCAATAATCTCCAGTCTCCAGAGCAATATTTACTGTATTCGCTTTACTCTTATCCCGAGTACTAATCTGCTAGGCTTTGCTGATATAAGTCTTTCTTCGGGATATCTATCTATCTCTGATCGGAATATCTCTATAACAGAATATACCGCCTTGATCTCTGTCTCTTAGTCTTAGAGCTGTATACCGATATCCAAGATAATAAGATCTTTTCTTTCACCCGTGGGCAGCAGACCGCACGGTGCTCCTACGATATCACTGCCACCGGCGAGATCAGAGAAGTCCATATCGACGGGTCGTTCGGAGATGAGGTCCATGCGTATCCAACCGTTTTTACTCAGTGGACGATTCAGTTGCTGAATGGTAAGGATCTGGATTTGAGTCAGCTTACATTGGCGTGGGATGTCTATGCGAGGTTTGACTAGGGGTTTTGGAATGGAAGAGAGGCATGCGCTGTTTCTCTTAGGAGGGATTACAAGTGCGAACCTGTAGTTGTCTCTATTTCTTACCAAGGAAGAGAAAGGTGTCCTAGAGAAATGCACCGGCAATGGGGATATGTAGTGTATTTTGAGAAAGCGTTTGCATTGGGATTCCTTTATCGGAGGACACCCAGAACTAGTCGGCTCACTTTGCAGTCAACGAAAAGTGCAATGATACTGAGAAATCCACACATGAAGAGAAACTTGACAGACAAAACATCTTGGTGGCTGTTGCAGGTTTGACATCCTGTCAACCTAAGTGACGGGACGAGCAAGTGGAGGGAACGTATGTACATTCATAAGAATGCTCACGCCACACCACAAAGACTGGCATTCCTCGCAGATCATCTGACACTGCGAGCACCCCTTAAGTCCATATACGTAGCGCCCTGAGGCATCAGGTATCCAATTCCCTTAGTATCCTTACATGTTTCACAAGAAATTTACCCCAGTCAGGGTCAATTCAGCTATTCAACTACTTTCCAACTAGACCAGTATACAATACCCTCCTAACCCTAACACCTAACATACTTCGCCACTCCCTACCAGATTAACCAAGTTAACCAGAGTGACAGAGTGCGTGCCCCTTCCCTGAAGTATCAGTGACACGAACTCGAGTCATATAACTCCATTCCCAAGTTCTACATTCATAGTCACCCTAGCATCCACATGCATGTGTGCTACACTGCCGATAAAGCCACTATCGAGATCATCGCCTATTAGCGGGTATATCACCGTTTTAGAAAAAGCCTATCGTTGGAATATAGACAGCGGGTCCTTAATAGATAAAAGATTGGTAAAAGAGAACGGGACGTCTTGACTACCAATGATATGTTTCCCCAATGCATGTATGGGCCTTAGAGTTTGAATACCGGATATATCATACTAGGCGTATTACGGGATTAACATGTTTTGAAGTGGATTCTTGCAGGGGAGAGTGGTAATAAAGCTTTGTTGTATGGCTCGGGATATTATCATTTGTTGTTCATGGATCTGGCTGGATCAGAAGGTTTTGGTTGGAGATTTCATGGATCCGGCTTTTTCGGTGTATTACCCCCCGAGGGGAATCTCGGGGTGGACTGACCCGAGGACGTGACCCCGCGGCATGAGAGTCGGTCATCTCGGCGAGTGAATTATGGAGACGACATTCATTCGCTTCGGTTCATGCACTCCCGACCGCACAGCATATACGTATTCGGTTTATGACACTGTCCTGGAAAGACTAATGGCCTCCTTAGTCTGGTCTACGTTATTGGGCTCATTTGGACTAGTAGGGTAACTGTTACGGTTCAAAGCAGTAGGTAGCCACAATTTCATCGTGAATTCATATCCTATGTTTACATGAAATGACAAAGAAGATCAAAGCCATCGCCAAAATGGAACGGGTAAAATATTTCATTATTTCATCATAAATTTTCATTTAAGCAAAGAGAGCGTCGCCCAGGCGGTAGTGCACAGTCTTGACCTGGGTGTAGTTCTCGAGGGCGTAGGAGCCCAGTTCACGACCAATACCCGACTCCTTGAAGCCACCGAAGGGAGCCTGGTAGTTGATCATGTTGTAGTTGTTGATCCAGACGGTTCCGGCCCGGAGAGCGTTAGACACGCGGATGGCAGTGTTGACGTTCTTGGTGTGGACGGCAGCGGCAAGACCGTACGAGGTGCTGTTACCGATCTTGATGGCCTCCTCCTCATCCTTGAACTTCTGGACGGTGACGACGGGGCCGAAGATCTCCTCCTTGGCAATCTTCATGTCGCTGTGGACATCGGTGAAGACGGTAGGCTGGATGAAGTAACCCTCGGTTCCGTGACGCTCACCACCGGTGGCGACGGTAGCACCCTCCTTCTTGCCGTGGTCGATGTACTCCATGATGCGGTCGAACTGCAGCTGCGAGACCTGGGGGCCCTGGAAGGTGTCGGCCGTGAAGGGGTTGCCGAGCTTGTTGGCAGCGGCGCGCTCCTTGAAGCGGGCAACGAACTTGTCGTGGATGCCCTCCTGGACCAGGATACGAGAACCGGCGCAGCAGCACTGGCCGTGGTTGAAGAAGATACCGAAGTTGGACCAAGAGATGGCGTTGTCGATGTCGGCGTCGTCGAAGACAATGTTAGGGGACTTGCCACCCAACTCCAGAGTGACCTTCTTCAGGTTGCTCTTGGCGGCGGCCTGGAGAATCATACGACCAACCAGGGTCGAACCGGTGAAGGCAACCTTATCAATATCCATGTGGCTGGAGATAGCAGCACCGGCAACACGGCCGAAACCAGAGATGATGTTAACCACACCAGCAGGGAAGCCAGCTTCCTTGATGAGCTTAGCGGCATAGAGACCGGACAGGGGAGTCTGCTCAGCCGTCTTGAGGACGACGACGTTACCGGCAGCAACGGCAGGTCCAATCTTCCAGGACCACATCAGAAGAGGGAAGTTCCAGGGGATGATCTGACCACAGACGCCAATGGGCTCGTGGCGGGTGTAGGTGAGAGACTCAGGGTTGGTATCAATGGTCTGGCCGTGAATCTTATCGGCCCAGCCACCGTAGTAGCGAAGGCAGTTGGCGGCGTTGGCAACGTCACCCTTGGCCATGCTGAAGGCCTTGCCGTTGTCAAGGGACTCGATAGCAGCCAGGGTGTCGATATCACGCTCGAAGAGGTCGGCCAGCTTGGTGAGCAGGCGGCCACGTGCCGAGGGAGTCACCTGCCTCCACTCGCCCTCGAAGGCAGCACGGGCACCTTGACGGCATCTTCGACATCGTTCTCGTCCGCCTCCTGGACAGCGATAATTGACTTCTCGTTGGTGGGGTTGATGGTCTCGAAAGTGCGGCCACTCTTTGCCTCGACGAACTCATTGTTGATGAACCTACGCGGCAACCATCTGTTAGCAAGGCATCTCCGAGGGAAGATAGCAAGGGTGGCGGGATGACATACAGGCCCAAGGGCTGCTCGTATTTGCCCGAAGGGGTCTCGAGGGTGGCGAAAAGGTTAGCCATGGTGAGGGAGGATATGAAGAAATGAGAAAGGGGGTATCACTAGGAAGGAGTGGGGTGTTGGTATAGAGAGAGGTGTTCAGAGGAGGGGAGATGAGGAGAAGAAGCAACGGTATCAGGCAAAGGAGGGGGAAATCCCACGGTATTAATACCTCTCAATTGCACTGGCGAATGGACAGGACCGAATGGGCCAGGAGGGGAAAGGTGGGAAGCGGAAAACAAAAAAATAAAAAATAGAAAAGGAAAGGAATTGATTAGAAATGAAAATCAAAAGTCAAATAAGAAAAAAAAAAGAGAACTGACCCAAAAACAAATCAAGGAGGGGGAATCATCAAACCATTGACTGGAGAAGCTCAGTGATAACACCGACGAAGGAGGGGAAGCCTGTAAGTTGATTACTAGTACTACTAGTAGTACTTCCCACGTTAGCGTGGCCCGTAATTTTACCGGTCAGGTTCAGTAATCCCACTTCCATCCCGGGCCCCGATTGGCTGAGGGGCCAGGGCCCGAGGCTGTATTGAAGACGGGGGATCCACCGGTACCCCACCGTAGCTGTCTTTCCAGACGATCGTGCGGGGTTCCTCAGGCCAGTCAGCGCTTATCCCCGGCCTTGCCGATCCACTTTCGGTCTCTGGAAATTTGGCACCCTATCCGTTTTGATACAACGTCTTCGTGTTAGTCTGACCCTCCCAGTCCATGGATTCCCACCAACTCTGACGCACCCAGGAGTACTTCCGCTCTTCGTGAAATTGCATCATCTCTCCAATTTTTCTTTTGGTCTTTTCTGTCTTTCTGGTTCCCCCAGTGCGGTTCATGTAACTCTCTACTAAAAGATCCACGTGGGGATTCTGTATGGTGTTTAAAACAAGTTTTTTTTTAAAAAAAAGCAATTCCGTCGACCATCAAGTTACTCTCATGGTCGCGGAGGAATTAGGGTTGATACAGGGGGAAAGCTGCCCCGCTATATCGTCAGCAGCCTAGTTCCCCCGCCTACGCATCTTCAACAATCCCAAGATTCCCAACATGGCAAACAGATAGAGCAAATTATGCAGACGCCTAGAATATAGAGTAGATAGTCGCTAATCATTATATCCATTCTCCTCATTCGGTATCCCCTACTACTGCCAACTAGCTCCGGTCTTGGTACCCAACAAGCGTCTCCAGAACAAATCTCACTAATTACGACAAATCAACGGGGCGAAAGTCTTACTGAATGGGGTAAAGATTGGTCCAGACCCGGGGTTGTTCGCGGCCTTGCTTGCATTTGGTAGGTCAAAGGAGGAACTAGCCTTCCTGCACCTAACAAGGTAGTCTGGGAGGTAGACAGTAGCTGTAGCCCGTACCTTGGTGGTAATGAACGATCGTGTAATCAGTTACACTATGATCTTGGTGACGGAGCACCCCTCTGTGGCAATCACTATGGAAACTGAGAATTGATATTCCCGGGCTGGTAATAGCCCAGCTGCATCATCGTGTCCAGGCTGAGCACTGAGCACCAATTGGCGGCGTGTGTCATGAGACAAAGTGTTTGACTGGGAGAGTGCCAAGTCCCCTCCGTCCCCACTGGACCGGCTGAACTTCCTTCCCGCCGGCGACTTTTGGGACTTTGGTTAGCTCTAAAATTCCCTGGCGGCGGTGCATCCCAATGAAACACTTCCGGTCACATATCCCCTGTCCAATCAAGGACCCCGATCATTGCAGGTTGCATGTACATCATGGAGACCGGTATCTAGTACTACTAGTAGCAGAGTACGAGTTACTAGTAGTACTGTTATGTATATGACCACGTGACCAATGCAGGAGATGATAGACGCTCACCCCAGGCTGATATCGGTCGCAAACTCCTCGCTGCAACGTGGATGACTAGTTGGCAATCATCGGCTGACTCTGGGGATGCAATCGGGCCGCGTCGGAACTATAGTATGCCATTTAAGGCCATGGCTTGCGAGGAAGGAGGGTCTGGAACCGCAAGTAACAAGTGGTAACATGACGGCGCGTTAAGCTTCAAAACCATAGAGGACCAAGGTTCACCCGATATGCAATCCCTAAACAAGCTCCCGTACCTTGAATGCCACCCTAGCCATAAACCATCGTGCTCAGCAGGACACGAGCTGCGACAAGTCCATGTCGGTAGAGATCTGCATCCTTACTGTGCACATCTTTATCGGGCGCGTTCGACTCAGATCGGACCACCGGGCTTCAGCACATCCTGTCTCGAAGGATTCTAATCCCCGCAATCTGATCCTCCCGCCGTACTCTCGGGTTACCGGAGGCTATCACGGCATTCGGCTCGTACGCAAGGGGGACGGGATTTGAATCCTCACATCATCGTGCATACGAGGCGCGGCCGGAATGTAACACGAGAAGAGGCTCGCCTTTATTTGGTGTTGATGCTGGGTGGCTGGGAAGGCTTTCCCATTTGGCCGACACGCAAGGCTTATCCCCCGCATCCGACGTCAACCCCATACCCATCCCGGTGATCCTCCACAGACTTGTAAAGCTTAAAGGACAGACCATCCGCGCGCAGTGGAACCACAGAGTTTGACACAACTTGAACGATATATACAATGGATATCCGAAGTAGGTCTTCAAGTCAGTTTCATCTAAGTAACCAGTTATCTTTGGTCGGGGATTTGACAAATGAACTCGTGCAGTGATACCAGGTTTTATATATGTACAAGTTCATCCGGTGCTCTAATGACTTCTGTGGTCTGTTGGAGGAGCTGAGGTGTCGGTGCTGGCTGGTTCACTGTGCCGGTGTCACGTTTTCGGTTTCTTTCCTGAGGCAGCATTATCCCCCTGCCCACCCCACCGGGTTGTCAGTCTGCCCTGAGGCTACAGATAGTGTTGCATTTGAGTATATGCTTATTTTTACATCTGCATCAAATATTCAAGGGTAACAATAAGTCTATAACAAAGTTCATGTACAATATTATGCTCTAATGGCCTGCGATGGAGCTGAATCATGATGAGACACACCCAATTATACTGACCAATACATAACGACCCCTCCGCAGCCAATCAAACCAGTATCCATATAGTTACTTGCGGAGACCCTTGGTAAACAGACGCTAGGTGCTAGTGAAGATTTGATAAAGGCCAAGTTAGATAAGGTCACCTCAAGGCCGTGGGAAACGATGTGATCAACCGCCTCAACGCCGAGCCGGAAACCGGAGACTGTTCAGCCCGCCATCTCCGCTTGCAATGTTGGATAGTCAACTTACCTATGATCCTGGTTATCAGCCCAGTACTTCCATGATTCTAAGCGGCCTCAAGGCAGAACGGTCTTCTGTTGGAGGTAGTGTGTAAGATATCGGTCAGTGCACGTTGCGCTCCAGGGGACGTGGGATATCCGTGGTCAAAGCGATGAACATACGTGCTCACAATCTCGTCATTGGGTTTCGACAAGTTGGTGTTTTCAAGGCCCCAAATGCCGCCGGCCAATATTTTGTGATTGACTGACTTGTAGAAAGATTTGGAGACCTATAGCATGATAGATCAGCAACGACCCCGCTGCGGATCTGATGATGCAGGCCTTAGGCCATTGGCAAGTTGCTTGATTTGAGAACTTAACGCCCTCGTTAGGCTGATTAGAAAGTGGGTAGTTGAAGAAGACTGTGGCATGGTGAAGGGAACAGGTACATTCAGGGGAAAAAGGCTATAAAAGGCACATCAAAACCACTGGTTTCAAGGCTCAAGACAGGTTCCACGGAGGACATATCCATTACTTGTCTCCAATACACTCAAGGCGCTGGCCATGAATTCCACCCGAGTCACATTGATCGAGGAATACAAGAGAAGATTAAAGCGCAACATCGCCCATAAACTCAGTGAGGTAGTCAACATTTATAGTAGAGACAAGAGACCCATATTTTATCACCATCCATACGACGTTCAATAACAAGCAGATAATCGTTCACTGCATATGCACAACTTGCCATCTTTCAAATGCACCTCCTTAGCATTGGCATCGACCTTGACCACAGCTCCGTGCTCACCAAGGCATGTCTTCTCCTTTGCCAATTTGTTAGCCACAGCAATCCAAATACTGGGACACAGGAAGTAGCCTTGGGGCCACAATTTCCAGTCACCTTGTTGAGAATAACGCTGTTTGTAAGCAACTTAAGGTTAGAAGCGGTCACCGACCCACGTAGCACTCATCTAGCCGAATAATCTCAGTAAGACTACAATGGATGCTGTAAACTCGGTAGTATACATACCTCGGCTGTCGGTAATGACCCAAACTCTGAAGTTGTATGAGAGCGTAAATACCTCGTCCCAATTCTCCCCAACGTTGCTGATATTCAATTCGTCAAAATTCTTCGGTTTGTCTGACGGTGGGGTGCCCACACCTCCAAGGCAACATAGATGAGACTGTTGAGACATGTGGCCTGTTTCGACTTTCGATAAGACAGTAATCTTGTTCTGAGAGGGTTCTTTTGCGCAATGGCACCACGGAATCGGCAAGGAGCATGATCTTTCTGATGTTCATGGCGTTTCAGCCTGCGCAACTGCACTTATATATAGTTGAATTTAACATGTCAGACGGTTTTCAATTGAAGGATTGGCAGTTCGAAGGTCTCTTGGTGACTGTTAGCCTAAGGAACCAATCAGATACATAATCTATCAAGCCATACATATATCACCATCAGATGGGGGCTGTGTTGCCTTGGTATCCAGGGGGTTCAAGGCAACATTATTCACTGAGGTAGCTACCCATTTGTGTAATATAAGGTGCTGCAGTTGCTATATAAACACAAGTTCAGGGACGATGCGTCATGCTTCAAAGCTCAATAGAATCGCACCCCTCATGTCAGTTAAGTGCGTCCAAATGGGCCTTGACTATCACACCAAATTATTTGTGATATAAGGCAGACAGGCGTGTCAATATTCCCTGCCTAGGTCCTTGAAAACCGCGCCTCCTAGATACTAGAGTCTCGCTATGATGTCGATCACACATTATGATGAACTAAGCAGATTTAAAATCTAAAATCGATCTCCCTTGCGACTGCACGGTAAATACCAAAAAGATATAAAGCCATATATATAATAGCAAGAAAAGTCCCATCAAGACAACCACGTCAATCGTGTCGCATATCATCTCTCGCATACAACAGATACATTATCATGAACAATCAATCTATATATATCCAACCCATTGCAGGATGGTCATACCCACAAACAAAAGCAAGATTGAAGTCTTCGTCGTTTCTAGTTCATCCCGATGGCGGTTCATCCAACCGTCCAACTGGGCCCACCATACACTCTTGTGATTATCTCTCAATGCAGAATGAAGGCCCGGAAGCCCGTCTAGACTACTAGAGTTCCACTCTTGCTGATATGCGCGCATCTGGCCTGCACTCGCCTTTTTACCAGCCCAATAGCTCATAGTTTCGCGGTCTTTGAGATATGGTTTCACTTCGTTGGTCTCCGGGTCATGAGTCAAAGCTAGCTGTGGCACACCGAACCCACACGATGTTTGGACCTGCAAACTATGAGTATACAGGATATGAAGTATGCGACAATGAACGTAAATGCAGGAACGGTATAACAGGCAAATAACGAACCTTGAAAACGTCCAAACAAATAACAGCACGGGCGCCTGTGACATTTTTTCCTGCCATGCGCTCCAAATATTGAGGAAACCCTGGATCGGTCCATTCAACAACGGAGCCTGTGCAGAAAAGTCGTAGAATGCGCGGTGACTTATCGAAAGAGCAGAACATCACAGTAATACGACCATTTTCTCGCAAATGACTAATCGTCTCATTGCCAGAACCCGTCGCATCTACGTAAGCTGCTTCGTTAGGGCCCAACACTGCGAAAGAAGCGTCTGGGAGGCCTTTCGGGGACAGGTTCACGTGGCGACCACGCAGAGGCGCCGAGGCCACGAAGAAGACACTCTGGCGTAAAGCCCAGTCGCGAATGTCATCTGAGATAGAGTCGTAGTATTGAACCATTGGTGATGGATCAGGATGGACTATTAGTGGCAATGGAGGTGGGAGGTGACAAGGATATGGTTCTCCCTACTCCGTATCCCTCGCCCAAATATATAACAAGTGGGGGGGTTCGGAAACCATGTCTTACTCCGAACGGTATGGTGAGTCGTGACTGTCTACATGTAAGCACGATAACGCGATACGGATGTGATCCCTGTAAACTATGACAAATAGATTAAAAATAAAGAGAAGAATGAGGTCTCCCAGCCAACAACACTCTAAGCAGATACGAGCTGTTCAAAGTATACTACATAGCATATTCTGGGGCTGTCCTGCCCCCGTGACCCACATCGATCGAATCTGTTATCCACATGTGATCTCATGGACTAAACCGCAACAAGCAAGAGCTGAAGAGCTCCACCATCATTCATTCCTCTTCACAGTCCCGTAAAGCTTCGATTCAGATACGTCAATGGAGGTGATTGTCCGCTAGTTATACTTTGCATTATCCCACTATCCTTGATTCATCAGGTTAATACATCGGCCCAATGAACCCCGCATCTCCGAACCGACAACCGAAAGTCCTCCTCGGCCATTACATATTTTGGATGATCGACAACAAGATTCACTAGTGGGAAGATGGACCACTTGATGACCTTTAAAACATCCGGTTCCCCATCAATTGCATCTCCGCTGAGAAAATTGTTCACCTCCTGCTCGCGTAGTAGATAGATACATCACTGAAAGATATCATGAGTTCTCGCCCAGTTCGCATTGCAGGTCAGTCGCAATTTCTAGCATCATCCCTTCCCCATGAGAGACGAGATTGACTGAGCCACCAACAGGTGCTTCGGGCTCTGCGTCCGACCGTCGACATGCCATCACCGAGTTCGCTCGTAACTACCCTCGAGACCCCGTCGACGTCATCATCGCCGACTTCATGAGCGAGGCGAACATGGTCACGGGGGCAGCACGGCGGATAGATCAAGATAAAGCCCGGGAGGTAGCTGGTAATAACGCCTCGGCGGTGCCAACAACTGCACCGGGATATGAGCTTGCATTTCTTTTGGCTCTAGAGCCGGCCCTAGATGATTTGGCGAAATATGGCATCAAAGTAGCGGTCAACGCGGGAAACGCAGACACGGAAGGGCTTTATAAAGTGGTAACACAAATGGTCAAGGCCAAGGGCTTGAATCTAAAGGTAAGTCCGTTGTTAGAGTACTCTGCACATTGCATGTATTGATATACTCCAGGTGGCTTGGGTCTCTGGCGACGAGGTGCTCTCAACAGTGAAAACGGCTTTGTCCACTGGTAAATCAACCTTCAAAAATGTCTATACAGGAGAGACCCTTTCCGGCTGGAATTTCGAGCCAATTTATGCTCAGTGCTATCTTGGAGGCCTGGGAATTGCCGCAGCCTTGTCTCAAGGGGCGGATATTGTTCTGTGCGGACGAGTATCAGATGCATCCCCTGTTATTGGAGCTGCGTACTGGTATCATGGGTGGAACCGCAGCGATCTCGACCAGTTGGCCAATGCATTTGTTGCTGGACATCTTATCGAATGTAGCAACTATGTATGTGGAGGCAATTTCACCGGTTTCAAGACGCTGGAGAAAGTCGGTAGTGATGGCTGGCGTAATCTCGGTTATCCTATTGCTGAAATTGCCACAGACGGGAAAGTGGTTATCACAATGCAATCTTCTGCTCCCGGTGGCGCTGTTACTGTCGACACCTGTTCCTCCCAGCTCTTATACGAAATCCAGGGCCCTTGGTACTTCAACTCAGACGTTACTGCCGTACTAGCGGACATCCACTTCGAACAAGTCGGTACTAATCGCGTGGCTGTGCACGGCGTCCGATCTGCACCACCTCCACCAACGACCAAAGTCGGTATCACAGCCCGTGGCGGTTTCCAAGCAGAGGCTTCATGGTTTCTGGTTGGGCTGGACATCGACGCGAAAGCACGAATGCTGGAGGACCAGATTCGCCACCTTCTCGCCCCATATTCGTCCAACTACACAGCCCTCGAATTCTTTACATTAGGTTCAGCACCAGACGACCCTCGAGACCAAAACAGCGCCACCGTCACCTTTCGAATTGTTGCCCAAGCTCGTAAAGCAGACGATATAGCCCCAAGTAACTTTCTTCGCCATATCACCGACAATATCATGCAAGGCTATCCCGGCGCTACCTTCCACCTCGATGCACGACAGGGATTCCCAAAGCCCATATATGAGTATTATGTTAGCCTTCTGCCCCAAGCAGATGTGAAGCACCGTGTGCACCTCCCGTGGAAGAATCAAGTGCTGGACATCCCTCCACCGCCCACGACCCAAGAGTTCCCGCCTCGACAACCCTCACAGGCAATTACCGAACCCCCTGCCAACCGCGACCTAGACTTCGGGCCTACAACTAGAGGCCCCCTAGGATGGATTGTCCATGCTCGATCGGGCGACAAGGGACCCGACGCAAACTGCGGGTTCTGGGTTCGCCACAACGATGAATACCTTTGGCTGCGCTCACTGCTCTCCATTCCAAAGGCGCAGGAGCTTCTAGGAGAGGAATACCGGTCGAACCCTCAGCTACAGATCGAGCGATTCGAGCTTCCAAACCTCCGTGGTGTACACTTTTTGTTCCGCAACCTCCTCGACCGGGGTGTTGGCGCGACAACTACAGTTGACTTCCTGGGAAAGAATGTTGCCGAGTATCTGCGAGCAAAATGGGTGGATCTACCAGTCAAGTTTTTGAACCGTGGCAAGTTGTAATTGTTCGTCGCTATCTGCAGGTATAGCCTCCTTGGTGTCAATAGCTAGGTATATTAAATCACAGGTGACCCTCTTGCGGATAATCTAGGAAAGACGCTTTGCTTGGCATTGAGTTTTCATCACATTGATTGAAATTGTCCCATACTGTACATAAAACGCCATGAATGCAAGTACATCATAATCTGCCGAAAATGCCCACGTATGAAAGGCATGCATTCTCTTCCTTCGAGCCTACTGATGTGGAAGTCTACCTCCTTCGGGGGGGTGGCGCAGATTCGAAGGCATCACTGTCATCATCAATTTCCTCGCTCAATACACTCGTAGCTCGAGTCTTCCGGCTCGGTCTCGTCGACCTCGAGGTGGTCTGGCTCTCGCGAGCACTTATTTGGGAACCGGTAAAATCCAGCGTCATCTGTGTTTGCTTGCCTCGTGTCGTTGCAGACCTACGCGTAGTGGCTCCTCCAATGGTATTCGATGATGGCGCCGGGGATGGCGCGGTCCGTCCTCGACGTTGGGTGGTCGTCGTCGAGGGCGCTGCTTTGCGGCTTCGGGCTGAAGGTTGCTTCACAAATAGAGATTGTGAATCATCGTCTTCATCGTCGGAGAGGGCTTGAGCCGCGGGAGGGGCTACATCTTCGTCATCATCGTCCAGCATGACGACATCCTCTTCCTCTTCCTCATCCTCCTCGTCTGATATGGCTTTCTTCCGTCCTCTAGTAGGTTTCTTGGGTGCCGTTTTCTTGGGTGCCGTTGATGTGGTCTTCGCGGTGATAGTTGCTTTGCGAGTAGTTGTAGTAACGGCCGTTCTTCCTCCGCGGCCTCGGCCCCGACCACGAGTTGACGTTGTTTTCGTGATAGCAGGTTCTGTGCCATCCTCTGCAGCATCCTCTTCATTGGGATCACCCTCATTATCTGAATGTATGAGTGCCCCCGGTTGGTCCTCCCAGACGCCGTCGAATTCAGTGTCCCAGCCACCTGGTTTAGGCTTAAAGCGCTTCTTCCCTCGCGAACTCTTCTTGATGCCTCGAGAGAACATGTCTTCCATCTGATTTCGATATTTCTCCATTGCCTGCTGCAGCGAGCTTTGCGCCTCTTCTTCATCGTCCATGACATCGTTGTCACGATCCAGGGCCATGAGGTGTTTGATTTGACTTTCTAACGATTCATTCACGAACATCTCCATGGCATGCTTGTCGTCTTTGTCAATGAATTGAGCCACAGCATCCCCAAATGAATTCTGTGGAAGGATACTCAACGACTGGGCAGAGAGAAATTCGCGCACCAACTGCTCCACTTTCACCGTGTCTAGCGTCGAGAGATGGGAGACTGCTGTTGCATCGACGTCATCATCTTTCTTGCGGGCTGCTGTGTTCTTTTTCTTCCTGTAAAACTGTACAACATCATTCACATTTGCGACCTTGCCTACGAAACGATTAGAGAACCGCTGAGGATTCTCACAATCATAGCTGCCTCCTTCTGGCGTGGAGATCTCCACACGCAGTCTCACTAGTGGCAAGGGCGCCTCTACCTCCTCATCTTCTTCAACATCTTCCTGCATCGCCAGCCATCCATTTTTCGCTTGTTCAATGAGCTCCTCGACGATTGCCATCAGAAAACGGGTTACTTCAGTCCGGTTGTTTTCTTTCCGAGCCAACTTTTGAGCCCCCTTCTCCTCGGAGAGGACAATTTCTTTCATGACAAACGGTCGCACGGTCTTCAGTGGGATCGGCTCGCATTTGAAGTCGCGTCCGGTGATACTGACGATCGACACCTGTTTTGTTACTGCCTCTCCGGGGACAAGTGATGTTGCCACAGAGGATCCGGGCTGCATAACGTGGAATTTAGTCTCAGGGTTCAATTTCGGATCAATCAAGCACTCATGTTCGTGGCCCCAGATCACGAGGTCAAGAAACTCCGGGAGGAAGTTTTCGGGGAGGTATCCGGTTTCCGTATAAGCGTGGTGATTCTGGTGGACACATATCAAGTTGAACCAGTCCTCTTTCTGAATCGAAGGCTGGTAGAACTTGACCTTTCCGTCGCGAAATGTACGGAATAATCGTTCATCTCGGACGTTACTCATACCATATAGTGCTAATTTGGTCCGGCCCTTCTGAAGCAGGACCGGCTTTATCTGAATGTTATCGGACTCAGGCGTCCGTCCATAATAGTTGAGTAGTCCGGAAACCTGGAGTAAGTCCAACGCCGCCAAATGGCCCTCTCCAGAGGGGTCATCATGGTTGCCATGGATCGAGAAAATGGGGATAGCCACATTGATGTCGAGATCTTCGTAATTAACATGGTTGAACGCCCCTTGGAAGTTTTCACTGGCATCACTGAGCATTTCCAGCTCACAGGGCTTATCGCCCAGACAGTTCATCCTGATCGAGCGCATTACTTGGTACATGGACTTCCGGGAAGGCTTGTTCTCATGAAAGAGATCGCCCGCGAGGAGTACCATGTCAACGTCACGCTCGCGGGCCAGGCACATCACCTCATGGAAACTCTTCCAACTGTCATCGCCCCTGATCGGGTCTCGTTCGTTGTACCCGACATGGTTGTCGGTTGCAACGAGGATGCGGATCGTTTCCGCGTCTGCTTCTTGTTACTTAGATTGTCTGAGAACAAAAAAAAGAAAACAAAAAAATGGCGAATTGTCTACTTACCACCAAGCTCGGGCATTATAAGAAATCACTCCAGTCCGCATAAGGTGAAAGTGTCGAAGAAGGTGGATATTGTGATGCGGACGGGGCCACTATTAAATGGGGATTCCGTCAGGCTGTAATGGGAGGGTGTTTGTTGCCTGGAAAAACAAGCCGCTGGATAGGACCAATGGCAGGGGATTATGCACGGTCTTTGTGCAGGGTGCCGTGATGCATGCTTAATTAACTCACAGTCCGGAGTCGATCTGATCGAAATACCATCAAATTGAACGATAGTTAGTTATTTGGGTAATATTACTAACAGTTCGATCTCCAATCTGATTTGCCTCCGCGGCGCGTCTTCACGTGAGAGGGACGCGAAAAGGCCGTGACGAATCACAGGGCTAGCCCGTGACACATTCCCCTCCGAGATCCAAACGTCGATTCTCATCGGTCCCTCTTTTTCCCTGAACGACTCCTCCCCATCTCCATTCATCTTTATCTCTCTTTCTCCCTTTCGGACTGTATAGATCTCTTTTTCTTATCTTTCGCATCCTCCACCGCATAGAGCGTCGTTCTCGCGCCATCAACTCTTCTCCTTATTCCGTCCTTGTATTCCTTGACTGACCCGGAATCTGGCCTGGTTCAGTCGCCTCCGTTGATCCCGTTAACCCCGCGAGACCTTTTTATGCAATCCGAGCCTGCTGCAGTTTCTGAGCGCACTTCTCCTGCAGATTCGCCCCCCAGAGAGTCCTTCCACAATACCCAGCATGGACATGTTCTCGATGGCGATCATCAAGTCTCTGGACCTCCCCATGAGGCCGGAGACATTGAAGGCGTCTCTGACTCACCTCGCCTGTCGCCCTTGAACCGGGCGAAGACGGACGGTTCAGCCCCCGCATCACCGGTTTACGACCGTGTCACTCGGTACGAGAATGCGATGGCGCAGTCGCCTTGGAGACAAACAGATCTGAGCTTCAGAGTAACGCCCCCGTCTACTGAGTCGCATCTGTCGCTGAACGCATTCCCAATGGTATGTCACCGTTGGTAATCCTCCTCGGACAATGACCCGTCTAACCCTATGAACTGCCAGAGGTTTTAACGCACATCCTCTCGCACCTGCCACCACCGGCTCTGTCATCTATGGCATTAGTGTCGCGCCGGTTTCACACTCTTGTCACAACGCCCCACGCCTGGAGAATTGCATTTTCGCGCTACTTCCCGGGTCCTTATGTCGCGGAAAATGGCACTCACCTGTCTGAGGCCAACGCACCCGAGAGGGTCACCTCAGATAAGCGCTTCTTTTCCCGCCTCACTGCGTTAGCGTCATGGAGATCCGAGTATATTCTGCGGACCCGCTTGCTGAGGTCACTTGCCCGAGGTAAGCCGGCGCAATTCGACCCTGCCAAAAAGAGCGGTACAGTTCGCTCTGTAAATATGCGCAATGGCAGCGCCGTTGTCACGTACACCTCCCAGCTTTTGTATCCCGTCAGTCATCTCGCTGCATCCTTTGGGACCGAGGTGACCAAGAAGCAGCCTCTTTTCATCCATGGGGCGTCAGAGCAGGGGATCGCATCTGCCAGCGATCCCTCCTCAGTCAAGGTTGGGACATGGGGTTTGTCTGACCATCAGCTGTTCCGCCATTTCGCGGATTTATTCCCTGGTGAAGCCGAGTATGGCCTTGGCTCTGGAAACATGGTCGGCCTGCCGAATCGCATGGACGTTAGCCAGCCTTACGGGATGATCTACGGCGAGGGATGCCCTCAAGGACGCAGCTATTTCATCTCAACCTTGGAGCAACGCGGGCGATTCTTGGGCCACACTGAGTCCATCTCACAGCCGCAGTTGGGCATTCCTACTCTGAATCTGATCACGAATGCGGTCACCGCTGTGTGGATCGCCAAGTCCTCCAATGTCCTGAAAATGACTGGAGGGTTGGTCGCAATGATGTCCGGTACCTCTTCTGGAGTTCTTACAGCCTATGCACTCGGGCCTCATCCCACATATGAACAGCGCTTCGAAAGAGGCCAAGTGACTGCCCGATGGGTTCTCTGTCCGGGAGTCCCCATCATTGCAATTGCAGTCGACAACGATTATTCTGCCAAGCGTCACGCCCGTCGACGCATCTGGGCAACCGTTCTTAATGCCTTGGGTGAAGTTTTCTACCTTTCAGACTTGCCGCGTCAGCCTGAACCTCCGTCAGCTAAGATGAGCCCTGAGCAAATCGATACTCTGGCGTGGAAGACCGGCAGGAGTGTTCGTTGGGAGCTTCTAGAGTTGAGTCGCCGCACGGCTAGGCCCGACCCCTACAGTCGGGAGCTTGTTGACGGCAGCTATAGTCCGAGGTCGTCGTCGGATTCGATGAAGCTTGATGAGAATCAGCTTGCTGCTGAGACCAAGGAGATTGAGCAGTTTATGTCATTTAAGCCGAAACACTTCCGGAAGGTTTGCGAGGGCTGGGACATGAGACGCGAAATGCAAGTCGACTTCGCTGGCGACGATAGCCACGGGGCCGGTGAGTCCGTTATCGTCATTGCTCGTGGTATAGGAGAAGATGAGACGGCATCGATTCGCAGATACACCAGAAAATTGACGCAGGCTGAAATGCCGCCGTCTCATTTTGGAACGTCTCAAGCTGGTGAAAGTATGGCTTCATCTCTATTCGGTGGGCCTATTGACTTTCCGTCTCTGTCTTCAGCTATCAACACACCAAGCGTGCCACCTTCGCGAGCCTCCAGTCGCCTCAGTGAAATAGTTTGCTCTGCCGCAAATACGGAATGGCGTATCTCAGATTTTGTTTTCGGCGATCACAAGTCAATTGAAATCACAACAAGCGCAATGGACCTTTCGGCATATGCTGTACTGACTCCTGACGAGGATCCTCTTCTTGGAATGTCGGGAAGCTCGACACTTTCCTCCGGTATGTCGTCGCCAATGCCGCACATGAAGCAGCCCTCAGATCCGGAAATTCCCGGCCAAAGGGGGCGCTACATGGCTATTGGAACGGCTACCGGAGGGGTCTTTATCTGGGATATACGCGCTCCTACGGCGAAGAACTCGGATATCATCAACTCCGTCAATCCGATCCGCATCGTCCAAACAGACTCTCCTCAAGTGTCCTGTGTTGCTGTTACGTCGCTGTACGTTGTGCACGGCGGCAATGACGGACTTGTGCAGGCTTGGGATCCTCTTGCATCTTCTACTCGACCTATCCGAACCATCAATTCGCGTTTTTCCTCCCGCGCGCGTCGTCGACTAGTGCAGGCGGAGGCTTCTATTCAGGGAGTTGGAAACAATTTCTATGCCAGTGGGGCTATATGCCTAGATCCTGATCCTACGGTCTTAAGGGGAATGGTTGCCCTCGGGTCCCACTTGCGCTACTGGTCCTACAGCTCCGGTGCTGCTGATCAGTATAAGACGAGCAAGCGCCGGTTCCGCCGCGGCCGTCGGGGCAGCAATTCTACCCCCGAGGGCCAACGCTTCAACAGCAGCGGCCGAGGAGCGCTCCAAGACTTCATCGAGGATGAACAGGCGGAGATGGTGCGACAAGAGAAAGCCGATCGCAAGGAGAAGGCGCACCTCAGCAACCGATTCGGTATCGATCTGCTGGGACCTGATGTAGACGAAGAGCAGCTTCTCGCTTATGCGCAACTCCTGAGTGAGGAGGCCTTCGCTAGCGAAGCGCAAAAACGGGGCGATGTCGCGGCTAGCTCCATGGCTAGCTCCGCCTCTAGCGACACGATCGGGCGGAACGATAGCTCAGTCGCGGCAGACGAGTTTTCATCCTCCTCGTCTCCATACGAGCAGCCTGTTGACGACGATCTTGCCCCTGACATTGCTGAAGCGATCCGCCTGAGTCTTCTTGACGAGGGGCCTGGGTCTTTTGAGCAATATCCCGACATTCCCATCAAGTACGCCAAGGGATCTCGATCTAGCTCTCACAGTTTCTCCCCGTCAGAAGTCGTCGCTGAAAGCAGCCACCAACAAGAAATAGACGATCTGGAGCTTGCCATCCAACTCAGTCTTGCCGATAGTCAGCCGCCGGAGCAAACAGACGAGTTCCCATCACTCTCGTGGGGTGAGTCTGGCAAGGGGAAGGGGAAGGGTCGAGCTTTGTAATTCCGTACATTGTACATTTGCTTTCGGTTTAGTTATTGTGTCCATTTGTTTTGATCATGCTATCATGCCTTTTAATATACAATTCGGGATTTATGTATCGCCGTTGAGGATCTGTTCAAGTACTGCCGAAAATAACTCCTTGTAAGGCCGTTGCAACTAATTTTTGACTGTCGTCTTTTGACGCTAAGAACCAAATGACTGTACACTTTCGCCCAATATAAAATAAAAGATGTACTGAGAGAGCTAAACAGAGTGGGAGAGGTATCTAGACGAAAATTCTTAGATGCGCCGCAGATTGCCATGATTTCGCGGTATCACTGAGCCACAAACACATTCACCACCGCACAACTCGAGGAAGAAATGTAAATTCAACTTACGAGCTCCAATCGGGCGAGTAGTATCAAGGGGGACTGTACTAGTATCCATACGAGCACATGGAAAGACGGACCTCCACCTCAGTATTACAGGTTATTCTCAGTGCACACAGGCCGCTATCAATATCAATAATCCAGACCTAATCTACCCTCAAGGTAACACCAACGAAACCCCAAGACACAAACAACACCACGCCACATTCAATATATCTACATATCCCGAACCACCCCAGCAGCAACCGCCACCAAATCCTCAACATTCGACAAAAAAACACTATGGCAAGCCTCGAACCCCAAAACCCTAATCTCGACACCCTCCTCCCCCCTCACCCCATCGAGCATCAAATCCTGAAACGCCCCGGGGACAGCATAGTCCCTCTCAGTCCTCACATACGTAACCGGACATCGGCGCCACGCATCCCCGTTCGTCTTCTCGCGGAGCACACTCACCGGGAACCTCACCAACGCCTGTACGCACCTGTCCACCGTCTTCTGCTCCAGCCCTTCATAGAACCACAGCCCGGGGTCCCGGGGCATGGTTAGCCCGGCTTCATCGTCGTCCATGAACTGGGCCCAGAGGGTGTCATCTACGCCGGCCTTGTCCATGATGGTTTGGATGGATGAGCCGGGGGGCAGGATGTAGGCGCAGAGGTAGAGGAGGTGGATTATGCCTCCCCCTCCTCCTCCTGCTGCTGCTCCTGGGGTTTGGTTCTTGTTGGTAGTGGTGGTGGTGGTTGGGGAGGGGACGACGGGGGAGAGGAAGTCTTGGGCTGCGTCGGTGCCGACGCAGCCGCCGTAGGAGTGCATGATGAGGAGGATTTGTTTCCCGGCGGCGATGAGGGTGTGCAGGGTTTGGCGGATTAGGGCGACGTCGTCAGCGAAGGTCGCCGTTGGGGGGGACTGGCCCGTGCAGGTTGGGAGGTGTGGACAGTGGACTTCGAAGCCGGCGTTCTGTAGGGCGGTGGTGTAGGGCTCGTAGTGGCTGGGGTGTGCCAGGCGCCGTGGACGAGGAGAATGGTTGGTTTGGGGGACATTTTGGTTTTGTTTCACTGGGAATTTTTTGTTTTATTTTTTTTGTTTGTTTGTTTGGATATCTGTTCTTTGGATGACTGGGTGGAAGTTCCTGTGGTGTATATGGATTTTTATACCTCGAGCATACCGGTGATGTTGCCCAGGATCAGTCTTAGGTACACTAGTGCTGACAGTCTACGAGTATCGTAGTAGATTAGCTTTCATCTGTGGGGCAAATCACGCTCTGTATGTGGTCGGCTCGTGTAGGTAAAAGAGTGGGACGATCATATTATTCCCTTCTTATGAGCATTCTTCAATTAAACTTATAAGGAAATCGTTCTACCGATGAGAAGCGAAAAGACTCCATTCTAAAATAACATCTCCAGTAGGTCAGTTGTCCCAGTGTCCCAGAACTGGTATCATAAACTTGCCGACCATCCCAGAGTCATCTCGGTCACGAAGAAAAAAGACAATACATCAAGTGAATTTAACGCACGCAATGTGAAATATAACACAACGAAGTCAATTAATTACAGCACGGAGACCGCGGCCACGACGGCACCGACCACCAGACCCATGAAGGAAGCGGTCATCCTGCCTGCAGCGCTCTCCTTGGTGTTGTCGGAGTCGCTGCCACTGCCGGAGCTGGAGCTTCCGGAGGTGCTGTTACCGGGGGTGTTGGACTCGCCGCTGGAAAGGGCCTTCAGCTGGATACCGGTGACCTCCTTGCCGGTGTGGTCGTAGATCTTCTGAGTGATGGCGGTCGTGGAGATGTCGACCAGCTTGCCGGTGTTGGCCTTGGACAGGCCGTTGTCGATCATGTCCTGGACCTTGGAGGGACGGGAGGGCAGGTCGAACTTGCTCAGGAAGGTACCGTTCTTGATCAGGTCCGAGCTGCACTTGGGGGCCTTGAAGGAAGTCTGGGTCGAGTTGGAGGCCTGGATGCGGTCCATGTCGAGCTTAGCATACTGCTTCTGCAGATTCTCATAGTCGACGAGCAAAGTGGCAGTGTCGCTGTCGTTGAGCTTGACGAGACCATAGTTGTTGGCCTCCTGGGTGTACTCGTAGACCAGACCACCAGAGAAGGCCTGGGTCATCTCCTCGCCGTAGATGGCCTGCACCTCGGTGAAGACACGAGGCGTCACTTCGTTGCAGCCGTACTCGGAGAAGAAGACGGGCAGGGAGGCGTTCTTGAAGTCCTCGGTCAGGACGTCGTAACCGGACTTCGTGTAGGACGATTCACCGCACCACGAGTAGGAGTTAAGACCGAAGAAGTCAGAGTGGGAGGTGGGCTCGTCCGAGTCCTCGCACATGAAGTAGTTCAGGGTATCCATCAACCAGGGACGGATATCAGCGGCGGAGTAACCCACAGGGATGGAGCGGTCAACGTTCTTCTTGATGTAGTCCTTCATGTCACGCTGGACGGCACGGATGTAAGCGGCAACCTCCTTGACACTCTGCTCGTTGATCACCTCGTTACCGGCGAAGAAACCGAGGGTGTTGGGGTAGTTCTTGAAGGCCTCGATAACACCGAAGACCTGTTCGTAGTAGACGGCGTTGTAGCTGCTCTTGGGGGCGGTACGGTCGATGTAGCTGCCGTACAGAGGGGAGTTGACGTCCAGGATCATGTAGATGCCGGCCGCGTTGAAGATGGAAGCACAGTCGTCATGGTTGAGGCTGGGCGACAAGTTGTAGACACGGATGGTGTTCACACCCAAGCGCTGCATGAGAGCGGCATCACGCAAGCATGCGTCCTTGTCGCTGAGAGGGTCCTTGTCCTTCTTGAAGCCGGAAGAACCGCCGGGTTGATAACTGTAGATAAGACATGACGATCAACACCACCGCTTTCCCCACGAGGTAACGCAATCAAATATCATCAATCTCAAAGCGATCATAGAGGGTGAACAAGATATCAGAACAGAACAGAACAGAACAGGAACGTACTCGACACCCAGGATCTGGAAACGATCACCGCTCTTGCTGTTGACAAAGTCCTTGCCCTTCACCTCAATAGTGGTGACAGCATTCGCAGTGGTCGCAAGCGCGCAAAGCGCCGCAAAAAGACGAGTGTACATCTATACATGCGGCGGGGTTAGTCAGCCAACATTCCCTTTCGGGTAATCGGTGGATCTATATCGAGGTGGATATCGGATTGGGATCGGGGAAGGAAGGGAACCGACCGAAGGCATTTTCTATATCTCTCTCGCTGGGAAAACAAGTATAAGGAGTCAAAGGATCGGACGGAGGTGCTTCCACAGGAAGTTCCAAAGGAGAGGGTATGTATGACAAGAGAACGAGTGACGAGCGCAAAGGCGCACAAAGATCAAACACAACCCGAGAGGGAAGTAGCGAGTGTGGGCAGAACAAAAGAAGGACAGCGACGAGGAATGAATGGAAGGAAGGAGAGAGAAGAGTCGCGAGTCGACCCGGCAGAAGGCTTTTTGAATTAAAAGAAAGGACTGAGTAAGAGCGAGCCCTTGGCCCCCCTCGAGCCAACTGATGCCCAGCAATTTAGTTTCATTAAAGGGTATACTCCAGCACTATGAGACTCCACTCCCGGCTAGTAGTTCACTAGAACCAATCCCCTTTTACCGACAAGACCCTTGGCGCTGAGGGTCTTGAAAGTTGAAACTGCGCGATGGTAATGTTTTTTTTAATTTAATTCATGCCCAAGGAAGGCAAAATCGGTAGATAGAGTAGGTGAAACAGTTCCCGGTCATTGATCTCATAATAGCTGTTTGATATGGACCATGGATAGGGTTGCAGATCGTCTACTAGTAATCAGGAATACATCATTGTTGCATCTCAATCCACGTTGAATGGCTCACTGTTGATACACTACTGCCTCTCTAAAATACAATCCCAAATGTTACCCGTCAGGAGAACCACTTGGGGAGAAGGAATAATTGGCGCCTGCAACCCAAGAATTGTCCACGTCCCAAGAAACCCCCAAGACTGGTGAAATAGGGGGTGAATAACCGAATGAGAAAAATGAGAAACAAAAAGTCATGGCGCCGAGAAATACCAAGAGAGTCCGCCACGCCGGCGGCCAAGACATGGGCAATGATGCAAATATACAGGGAACAAGAGGGAAAAAGGTAACAAATAATAAGCGGAGAGGGTGAGAGTGCGACATCGCAAGGCGCAAACGTCGAAAAGAATCGACCTTTACAGAGATCGATCAATCTTTTCGCATCAATTAGTAGCGCAAATGCAAGAGAAAACGGGTCCGGACCACGGCCCAGCGTGCCCCGACGACCTGAGAAAGCCAGATCACAGGCCAAGCAAAGTTCTTATTTTTATACGGAAGGGGGTTGGATGATTGACAATGCCGAGGGCGCGAGTCCGGATCCAATGAATGCGTCACGTCTGTTCTTTTACTCGACACCATGGCTTGACTCAGCACTGCCACCTTCGCCAGTGAATGTGCCCAGCTTCAAACCGGCGTCCATGGCGACCATCTCGGCCAGAATTTCCAGGACCTCCTTAGGGACAGTCTTGTCATATATCGAGATCAGGTCCTTAGGCTGGGGATAAACCTTAAGGGCCTTGTAGAAGCACAGGGCGGCTTCAACATTGTCTGAGCCTAGGTTTATATGTGAATCGCCGCTACTTTCAAATGGAATCTCATCCATGATTCTCTTGGGGGAGGAAGGGTGGATGGCGTCACCGCAGCAGAAACATACCTTCAGCGCAGAGAGACTCTCCGCGGGCAACTTGGCCCATGAAGTAAGCCTCCTTCTCTTCAAGGTCGGTCGGGAAACCCTCATCCTGAGCCTGCTGGACAGACTTCTTGATGGATTCCCGTTCCTGGGCTCCTTGAGCCTCGGCTTCCTCCTTCACAGCTCTCGCCAGACGACGGTTGTTTCTCTTCAACGACTTGCGGAACTCGGGGTCGGTCTGTCTCTTGTGATCGAAGTAAATGGCATAAGCTATATCCCGAGAAAGAAAATAGATTGATTAGTTTGGTTTTCGCGACCGGTTGATTTTGATGTTATGTTCTTACCCAGCAGGCCGGTAAGGACCGTGCCGGCCGAAGCAGCGACCAAAGCTGACGTCCTCATGGTGTCACGGGAGATAGCGTGTAATTATTTATTAAAGAAAGATAAAAGAAAGCACAGAGGTAGAATAAGTCCAGTGCCTCAGGCGAGTCCGACCGAACCGAGAAAAGGGATGTTTATTTGGTCTATGGGGACGAGACTGGGGAAGTGACGCTTTTCTCATGTTCTGACAATTTTGAAAGCGGAGGATCATTGTTCTTCCGCCTCGGGGTTTCTGTCCCGCTCGGGGGGGAATTCAAGCAAGCTCCCCCATCCAATACCTCCACGTCGTCACTCCTCTTCCTCATGCATCTGAACCGTTGCCTCCTGGCTTCGTGATCGAGACAGTATGGAAAGCCGCGGATTGACCCTCCGCAGCAAATCCCGCCGCCCCCGGCCCCAGATCAGTGCGCCGAAGCCGATCTCCGGACCTCTCCCTCCCGGTAGTAAGGCCGTCGACCCGAGGACCGCTACGTCAACGTCCACTTCACGCGAACGCGCCGCTCAAAAAGATGCCACCTCCGATTTGGTGAAGAGGAGATATTCCACCCGCTTCAATCAAGCCCCCGATCTTGACTCCGCAAACGCACCCCCGGTGCCCGGGGTGCCTAAAGTTCCGACTCAGTATACGGCGCTAAGTCCACCTCAGTCAACCAGCAGACGGCCCTCGACAGAGTCCTCGGGTCCGCCACAAGTGGATCTGAATGCTTTGCGCGACCCTAGTCTACCAGTAGATAGATGTAAGTTTCACAGCCATGAATCCTCCGTGGACATTGTTATAGTCTTGCTAACCTGGTCCTGCCTATCAGATGTCGCCAACCTCCTAGCCAATGCAACCGAGGAAGAGATCGAAGAGTATCAGAGAAGCTTAAAAAAGGTGAAGAATCGGACATCCACCGACCTCCAGCAAAATGTCTATCAGAATCGCACGCAATTCATCAAGATCAGTAAAGAAGCGGAGAAGCTCAAAGGAGAGATGCGCACTCTCCGCACCCTCATGTCAGAGCTCACAACAGCTTTGGGACAAACAGCGACCGTTGGCAACACTTCAAATCCCATGTCTCCGACGTTAGACGAGCGCATCACCAAGCGAAGCAATCGCAGTTCCGTTGCCAATCTGGAGAGCATGTGGAACGTTCAGCTGCAAACACTGTGGAAGACCGTCGAAGGATCGCAGAAGTTCCTACCGGTGGTACCAGGCCGGCACATCGTGTTGGAGACGGGAAACTGGGTCGAGCTAGATTCTGCGACTTGGAAGCCCCGGCGGCCGGTTCACATCGTGCTGCTGAACGATCACCTGCTTGTGGCGGCTAAAAAGCGAAAGCGTGTGGATCAGAGCAATACAAACCACCAGGGCCCGGTGCCCACCAAGCTCGTCGCGGAAGAGTGCTGGCCCCTGCAAGATGTCGACATGATTGACCTCGGTGCTAATCTTGGCCCTGGGGTCTCCCGTGAAGAAGCGGAAGATCGTGGTATCATGAACGCTGTGAGCGTCCGCGTGGGCTCTAAACCCTTCACCTATCGCCACGATAAGCGTAATGGCTCCGCCAAGATCGACCTTCTCGCGACATTCCGGAAAACCGTAGAAGACCTTCGCCGGACGCTGCGATCCGACACGGAGACCGCAGGCAAGAACGAGTCATTCGGGTATCGAGGAGTAAGACAGTCGTCATACTCCATGGTAAAACCAGATTTCAGCGCCTTGGAAACCCAGCGCGAAGCACCCGAAGTCCGCATCGACGTAGACGGAAAACAACAAAACCTACGGTGGGTCGAGGGCCAGGTCGACGAACTCGACATCGACATCGCGCTTCAGCGCTTCGAAGAAGCCGTCTCCAACATCGAGCGGCTGCGGAAACTCGCCAAAGGCCTGAAAGGTAACTCGGTCGCGCAGGACGTGATCAATTCTAAAGTGGACGAGCGCGCCGCCAAACTGGCAGGGGTACTGTCGCGATCCTTAATCGACACGCCCTCGTTTCTAAACGCCACCAAGACCAAGGTCTCCTGGCTGACCCGCTTGGGCTTTGAAAATCAAGCCCGGGAGGCCTATCTGAAATGCCGATCCGACGTGATCACCAAACGAATCAGGCAAGTTCCATACTCAGTCAACAACAAACGAGCCAAAGCATAGTAACTAACATCCCGGAACAGAGCCTGCGTCTTCGAAGGTGACCTCCCTCTATACATCTTCCAAATCTCCTACGTCTACTTCACGCTTATCAAAAATACCGTCAACATCTACCAACAATGCTTCCCGGCCATCATGACCAGCGCCTGCATCAAATGGGCCAAACACCACCTAGACGGATTCAACGCCCTCCTCACACGCCAGCTCAGCAGCGTCCAGCGCGGCACGACCGTCTGGCAGAAGTGCATCGACATCGTGCACAAGCATGCCGACCTACTCACAGAAGTCGGAATTGACTTCACCGACCTCGTAGCCAAGGGACTGGAGCTGAACGAGGGAGAGCAAGTCGAGAAGCCGAAGATGACCCGCTCGGAGACGCTGCTCTCTGGGCTGGCGGATGCGGCGGAGGCCTAATTGCGGGTCTCGTGATCTTGCTTGGGATGCATGCATGTATGATGATAGTGGCTCGTTGTGTGAACTATATATCCTTCTTGTTCTTTAGAGAGTCTTTTGTTCTGAGTGAGCGTCGTTGATCGAATGCTACTATTGTTGGATATGTTCTGGTCCAAGACTCTATAGAGTAATCCCCAATTGGTGTTCTTGGTTGAATAGGATACACTTCTATCTTATACACCACACTATATATATACACACTACCCGGGCACAGAGCCAAGAACATCACGTCTAATAGTGACCCATCTACACTTTTTACCCAATAGAATACCACTCATAAACCTTGTCATCCTGATCCCCATTGTCCTCAGTTTCGCCCAGCGTCTTCCCCCGCCTCGACCGCATGGCCCCCCGGGCCATGAACTCAGAGGGTGGCAACCACGCATGATCCCACGTACTGGGCTCATTCAACGTCTTCCCATACTTCAGTTGCCCGAAGCGGAAATCCAGCGGCTCGGAACCCTCGACGTTCTCCGAGGGCAGACGCATGTAATAGCGCACGCTGTCGGGGATTTCCTCCCGGTTGTGGCTGATCATGATGAGGGCCTGGTCGTCGGACAGGCCGAGGTGGCGGATGTCCGACTCATCGGTGTTGTAGCCGCGCAGCCAGTCTTCCTTGCCGTCGGAGCGGCGGGTGGCCGAGGAGGCGCGGTTGCGCGAGTACTCGCCGGCTTCGAGGAAGTGGATGCATTTGTCGCGCATGGAGGCGGGCATGCCGGAGAAGGCTTCGTCGAGGATGACGATGTCCGGTTTGTGGACGAGCGCGCGGATGAAGAGGACGACGCGTTGTTGGGCGGTGTTGAGTTTGCCGAAGAGGGTGGCGTCGGCGTACTCAACGTCGAAATCGATTGGGGAGTACTTGGGGCTGGCGCCTCTGACGAAGTTGATTCGGGGGAAATGTGCTCTACTCTCCACTGGCACTCTCGGGGGTTTCTCGTTGGTGGTGACGGCGGCGTCGGGATCGAGCTCGGCCTTGAAGTAGCGCAGGGCGGCGCTCACGTCGAGGTCGCGGGCGTGGTCCAGCTTGGGTTTCGAAAGGAAGGTTTCCGCGTAGGCTGATTCCACGGCTTGGCGGATGGTGAGTTGTCGCGGGAAGAAGGCGTGGATTTCGGGTGAGGAGTGGCCGAGGCGGGATTGGAGTTCGAAGATGGAGATGCCTGGCTTTCCTGCCTCGGGCAGGCGGGAACGGCCGAAGAGCTTCATGGGCAAGGCGTATGCTTGGGGGTGGTCCGAAGTGATTAGGGAGAGAAGGGTCGTCTTGCCGGATCCATTGGCTCCCAGAACCGCCCACCGCTGTCCACGACGGACGGTCCAGTGGAGGCCGTCTTTCTCTTCGCCGTTGATGCTTTGTTTCCATCCACCCAGAACAACCTTCTCGCCATATTGCACGCGGACTCCGTCCATTTCGATGACTGGCTCGCCTCCCCTCGTAGCAGGCAGGCCTAACTTACTGGGCTTTGTTGATAATAACTGGAGGTCCCACAGCAGTTGGCGATCCAGATGGCCAGCTTCCATGGCGCTCTTTGCTTCACGGAAAATCGCTTTCTCCTCTGCGGCGAGAGATGAAACTTCTCGGCCGCCGTTGACGACTCGTTTCCAGACATTGAACACCCTGTCCGCTTCGGCCCGCTGACCTTGGAATAAGACTCGGTTGTTATTTCCTAGGAGCATCAGATGCGTGATCCAGTCAGGGATGGTATCCTGCGGCCGTAAGGCGAGGATTAATCTGGGGTCCGATTTGGCAGCTAGGCGCTGGAGAAGGCCAGAGATGCTTCTGGTGGTCGCAGGGTCAAGGCCCACTAGAAGTTGTTAGCAACATCATTGAACCCTAACCTGAGAGAGCACACCTACTGAAAGGATCGTCTAACAACAGTAGCTCCGGCTTGCTGAGTAGCGCCTTTGCGATCCGCGCACGCCTTGTCTGACCATTGCTCAGGTTTGCGACGGGCATGTCCAGGAGCTCTCCCAATCGCAGATCGGTGATGACCTGATTGAGTAGCTGTTCATCTCGTATCTTTCCACCTTCTTCTCCTTCCAGGGGGTTCAAGGAGGTTTGACCCTTAAGGTATTGAAGCACCGACCAGTCCGTCTCTTCCCGGAGACTCTCATAGCGAGCACTCAAGTAGGCGCCGCGAGTACCACCAATCGCTCCCGACCCTTCGCCACTAAACCCAATATATTGAACCGCGTTTCCGACGAACCGTAGCCGAGGATCCTTCTTCGCAATCTCGTCTGTGAGGAGGTAGGGGTAGGAGCGAGCCGTCGGTGGGAGACAGACATACTGGCCGCGGAGAATATCGAGCAGTTGTGTTCTCCCCGAAGTACCGATCACGGCCCAGTGTTGCAGCGATTGATCTCCATTGCTGCCAGCTGATACTGCCTGGCCGGCGGGTAGAGCGAAATTGAGGTTCGGAAAGAGCGGCGGGTTCTGGTTGTTGGCCGCGTCGTCTGGACTGGGATAGTTCTGATAGAAGGTTCCGTCTTGGATGCGAATCAGCGGCGGTGTCAATGACGACACTGCACGAGTCGTGCGCAGCAGACTCGTGGGTCGCCAGAGCAACCTTGTCCGCAATGCAGGCCCTCTGAGCATCATGATTTCCGCCTGGTGTCTCCTTCCATCCAGACCGATTGGCGATTATTTGAATCTCCAAATGCTGCCCCAGGATTCTCGGAGTTTGTCTTCAACTCCGACGGTCACGTGCCCTCTGCATGGCGGCCGGCGTCAATGACGCAATGGAGTTTGGTTTACTTTGAAGTTCACGAAGTAAGCGAAGCCTCCGTCCTCTCCGATGTAACGCTATACCTCGTAATGCTACTAGTCGTAGGGATCTAGATATCAGTAGTACTACTAGTAGTAGTCCTCAGGCTGTCCGGAGTAGTCCCTCGGCTCCGATTGGAGTCTACGCAGATCTTCGGCCGGGATTGCCGGATTGGGAGGTGACTTGGGATACTCTCTTTATAAAACGTTCTGCTTTAATCTATTCCCGGTTCAAATAAGATAAAAATACTTGAGTGAAGCGGAATATGGCAATACATATCCGTGTTTACTAGAACCAACCATCGTCTTCTGTTCTAGCAGCGCGGGACGGAGGAGTAACTAGTATTCAACCCATCTCTATACTAGGGCAAACAAAAACCAGAGTTCCCATCCCCGCAATCTTGGACTGGAGTTATAATACAACGGATGGCTACCATCCAGTCAGTGCCAAGTATATCCTTATGGAGCATGTCGAAGGCGTTCAGGCACGTTTGAAAAGTACTGAAGCAGATCTCAACAGATCCTTGTGTTCACAACGCGGTCACATTCTTGCTGTTTCACCCATATCCATGTGTAGTAAATATATCATTAGTCTCAGCAGACGACCCTTCTATTGTCATAGGTATCATCGACTGGCCAAGCAGCCAGTGTCGAGCTATCATTGCGGGATGTAGATGAGGTTCCCGATTTGGCTATGCACAACGAATCTGGATCCGATGTATTAGTTATACCTTCCAGTGCTTACTGTATACTACTGCATACATACTAAACCTGCGGCTTATCCGAAGTCAGGGGGATCCCTCTTATCTAAAGTCCGACGGCGCGCGATAACGACCGGCAAAGCTCCCCCCCGCATAAATGCCGAAAGCTGACCTCATGCTCTCACTGCATTCCAATTGACCTTCACTGGATCTCACCTTTCACTGAATGCTGTGAAGCATCGCCTAGTCCCCGACCTCCTTCTACGTATCTTGTTCTGCCTCCTAAAGCCAACATGGCTGTCCTGAATGCACCAAGCAACGGGTATACCAGCCGGGCCTCCGCTCTCGGCCCCTCTCCCCTCCCCCCCCATCTTAACTACAGCTAACAGCTAACACCTCTCTGCGCAGTGTGAACCTACAAACGCAATCCCCCAATCTAACATCCATTCCGTCACTCCCACTCTTCCTCGCAGCCAAGAAGCATGCGCAAACAACCCCCGATAAAATCGCTGTCATCGACACAACCAAGAACCAATCATTCACCTTCGGCCAACTCCTCGCCGACACCGCTGCACTAAAGAAGCAGATCCTCGAGCAATTGAAGCTCAGCGAAATAGGAGAACTAGAAGAAAGACGCGTAGCTTTCCTCACACCGAATGGATACGATTATGTGGTTACACAATGGGCCATTTGGGCAGCGGGCGGAGTCACCGTGCCACTCTGTATGCATCGCAAACACTCGGGCTGAAACACTAGCTAACAGCTGGTCCGTAATATAAGGCACGACGCACCCAGTGAAAGAGCTACTCTATACAATCGGCGACTCGGACCCGTCACTGATCATCCTGCATCCGAGCTTCGCGCACTTCGAAACACCCTTGCGGGAGGGGACCAAGAATGGAATCCCATTCATGGATCTAGACCCGTTCACGCAGCGTGTCGCGCCGACGGCTGTCCAATTGCCTCCGTTTAATTCACAATGTCCGCTGGATAAACGCGCATTGATGATCTATACGTCGGGTACGACGTCTAGTCCGAAGGGTTGCGTTACGACCCATAAGAATATTACGTTCCAGGCGGAATGTCTGATTAAGGCGTGGAAATACGCACCTTCAGATCATCTCATTCATGTCCTGCCGTTGCATCACGTGCATGGTATCATTAATGGTCTGACGGCTAGTTTCCTGAGTGGTGTTACCGTTGAGATGCATCCGAAGTTCGATCCCAAGGTCATCTGGTCCCGCTGGCAGGATCGGGGCTCCTCGACCATGTTCATGGCTGTGCCGACGATCTATTCCCGACTGGTTGACTACTTTGAGACTCACATTCGCGGAACGGAGCAGGAATCCGCGGCGCGGGATGGAGCTCGCGCACTACGACTTATTATTAGCGGTTCCGCAGCGCTCCCCACACCCATTAAAACGAAGTTTGCAGAGATCACCGGCCAGACGCTTCTGGAGCGCTACGGGATGACGGAGATCGGTATGGCGATTAGCTGCGGGCTGGAGGTCGAGAAACGGATCGACGGGAGTGTCGGGTGGCCGCTTCCCGGCGTTCAGGTGCGACTAACCGAGAAAGAAACCGGACAGGTTGTTGAAGCGGTGGACGAAGATGGGCAGATTGAGATCAAGGGAGACAACGTCTTCCTGGAGTACTGGCGTCGGCCTGAGGCCACGGCCAAGGAATTCACCGTGGACGGGTGGTTCAAGACCGGGGATGTCGCCAGACGGGATGCATCTGGCGCATACTTTATCCAGGGACGGGCATCAGTCGATCTGATCAAATCCGGCGGGTACAAGATCTCCGCCCTGGAAGTGGAGCGGAAGATGCTAGGACTAGACGCCATCCAAGAAGTAGCGGTAGTCGGGCTGGCAGATGAGGAGTGGGGACAGCGGGTGGCTGCCGTGGTCAAACAACGCCCTGGAGTACGTCCATCTCCCATACTACACCCCCTTCACAAGCTCCAATGCTCACTAACCCACCAGACCGAGCCCCTGGAGCTCCAGAACCTCCGCACTCAACTCAAACAAGAAATGGCGCCCTACAAGATCCCCACCGTACTCAAGATCGTCGAGAGCATCGAGCGCAACGCAATGGGCAAGGTGAACAAGAAAACGATCATCCAGAAATACTGGCCGTTGGTCTAACAACCGGGGGGTATATGGAATTAACCAACAAACACTACCAAGATCACACACCCACAACTCCTTCATAGCAGAAAGAAAGAAAGAAAGAAAGAAAGAAAGAAAGAAAGAAAGAAAGAAAGAAAGAAAGAAAGCAAGCAAGCAAGCAAGCAAGCAAAGAACGGCTAATCCAACAAATCCACCACCATCCCATAAACCCTCATCATCTTCTCCCAGCCCACCGTTCCCTCCTTCGCAACCTTATCCCAAGCATGCCCCACGCCCTCCACCCGCTCAACAACGACCTTCTTCAGAAACCCCCCATTCCCACCCTTAGCAAGCATTCCCCCCAACTCCTCCACCTCCGGGGCCAACACATCCCTCGCAGCAGAAACCAACAAAGCCCTCTCCACCCTCCACCCAGCACCATCCCCAACCGCCCTCCGCAGCGGCGAAACCCTCACATCCCGACCCTCAAACCCGGCACTCAAATAAGCCACCGTACAAAACCTCACAAACCAGCTCGGCAACGTCCACCCCCCAACCTCCGGCGCCGTTCTCTCCGCAGACGGCCTGGCAGCATCCACGACCGGATAAAACGCCACGAGCACCTTAAAGGGGCCCTCATGATTCGCCGCCAGACTGGTCGCCAGATTGCCCCCCGCTGAGAACCCGCTCACGCCCACACGACCCGCATCATACGTCTCCGGGCGCGCGCGCACATAGGCCAGCACATCCTCTGCGTCTTCGAGGGCCGCGGGGAAGGGATGCTCGGGAGCCATACGGTACTGCACGTCGAAGACGGTGTAGGCGGTGTGCGCGGCAATGTGGCTGCAGTAGGTGTGGTCCAGGCCGTGGCCTTGGATGATGAAGCCGCCGCCGCAGAAGTTGAGGAGGACCGGGTGCGGGCCCTTTTCGGGGCTGCAGGGGCGGTAGACGTGCACTTTGATGGTTCTTTGGGGGTCGCGGGATGGGATGTGGAGGGTTGTTGTTGGCGTTGGGGTTATGCGGGGGACGAGGGTGTAGGCTAGGGCGCGGAGGAGGAAGGCAACCGGTTTGAGGAAGAGGTGGTATTTTAGGGTTCGTTTGGGGGGCATTGTTGTTGTTGTTCTTTTGTTTGGTATGTTCTTGGTGGAGGTGAGTGTTCTGTGTTCTGTGGGGGTGTTGTGTAGATGTAGATGTATGCGATGTACATATATATATGTAGTATGTACTCCGTATGCAGACAGGCACGTCAAAGGAGAATACGTAGCAAACAGGCGATTTATGTATATGTCACGATCTAAATCTCGGAGATTAAACGACACCCAGGAACAGGTACTGAAAGTAGTAGTAGTGAAGAGAGAAAAAAAAAAATGTGACCTGTACAAGAGACCGTTACGTTGCGGTGAGATCTTGGTCCATGTTTTATATACTAGTCGAGTTTACCGCTACAACTCATTGATTCACAGTAGTATCCAAGTAGGTAATCAGAACCAATTCGCCCCTCCTGCTTGCCAGAGCCACAACGAGAGTCACTCACACTAAAAAGCAAAACAGTAATTTAGCAAATAGCAAAAAGGTAAGTACTACTAACTATCACAACCCCAACAGCAACTCGCCAGCACCCAATAACACACCCGGGATATCCTCGTTCCCACACGGCCAGCGCTAAGAAGAGCACGACAGGGGTGTTCGGGGAACCAGCGGCCTTAGTGTGAGAGTTGGTGCAAGATGGCCCACATTGGGCAGCATGACATACAAAGAGAGAGAGAGCTGAGGCGGAATCCCCACGACTATTCTCCCTTATTATGGAAAATATTCTTTTGCGCATTATTGGATTTTCGTGGCTGTTGTTCCCTTTGTTCCCCCCACCACCGAGGGCGAAGTAGATCGAGTGCGGGTCATTGGTCAGAGTCAGCGGTTAGGGTTGAAGGCTAGGCTGGATCAGGCATGGAGGGGATTCTCGCCGAGGGAACCCGATCCCGTCTGGTGATCAATTATCATTGGGTTTGCTTTTTTTTTTTTTTTTTTGTTTTGTTTGTTTGTTTATTGAGAGAGGGGGTGCACGAGGAGGGGGGGGCTGTAACTGCTTATCTGGGGTTAGGTTCATGAACTATAGATCGGGTGGGGACATGGCCGGATGGGCTGCATCCCTGCGGTGGGTGCGTCGGGGCGATTTGGAATTGACTCTCCTCGGGGAATATGACCATGTGCTCAAGCAGGTGCCTGAACCCTTGCAGGTGCGGTGTCCATTTGTTTAAATTGTCCATGTTCTATATGCTTTAGCTATAAGTAGTCATATCTCCAACCTGCCATCCAACAAGTAGCCGGGCTAGCTCAATCGGTAGAGCGTGAGACTCTTAGTCATCACGGTATCTCAAGGTTGCGGGTTCGACCCCCGCGTTCGGCTTCTCTTTTTGCTCTTGCTTTTTTGCTCAATCATCTGTCACCTAGAGTAGTTAGTTAGTATACACGGTTTATCTGTCCTTCATCCCTGTGTTAGGCTACAGGTGTGCGGAAGGTATCGCGGTATTCAAGGTTTGACCACGCGCAGGAATGGCAGTGTGAGATCTGAGAAGAAGGTCACCGCTCCGTCAGCTCCGGCGGTCGTAATGTTTTTCTCGGGTAGGCCGCAGACTGAGGCGAACGACCCGTACTCCTTTCTTTTCTGCGCAACATACTGGGCGTATTGGTCAACCGGGCAGCTGCTTCCGGGTCCCGAACGGCAGGATGGGATGGCTGTGGACATCAGTGACACGTACTACAAATGGAACCGGAAAGAGAGACAAGAAAAGCATGGGACGGTAGCATGATAGGGACAAAGCAGAATATATATTGCAAGGCAGACTCACGGTACACAGCATCATTGAGTAAAATCCGGACGTTAGCCATACTCTTCCCGCCTGATGTGCAAGTAAGACGCTCGAAAGCGATGGTCCCGCGCATCGGATTCACATTGCTGCTAACATAGATCTATAGGACGCATATTAGCACAGCTCAAGATGGTCCAAAAGTAACGCGGCGTACCCTATCACGGTCCATCTCGTCCGAGGCGAGTGGCTTCTGGTCATCAAAAACACCCAAGATAGAAGCCAGCTCATTAATCTGGTTATCATGGGTAAAGGCCACCACCAGCGGGGGCAATTGCAAGGTACCGTTGCCCTTGTCAGCCGTGGCGGCTGGTCCTTCCTTCAACAGGTTGACCACACCCTGTAGCACAGGCAGCATAACGGTCATGTTCTTGCCCACACCAGGCCCTGTCATATACCGTTAATCGTGTCTCTTCCCTGCCCGTGATACACGTACCTGTGCCGTAGTAGTAGCGCAGATCCTGAGCATATTCGTATTCTAGGAGCTCTTTCTTAGTGAACACATCACACCACGGGCTGACCTGGCCGGTGATCTGCGTCTCAAAACCACACAGGTAAGGAAACAAGGAGACCTGGTCATCCGTGAGAGTGAGATTCCCGGAGAGTTTACGATTGAGGCGTTTGGTGATGGGAGGGAGATAGATGTCTTGCCATTCGGCGATTTGATCACCCCCGCTGGCATCCTTAAAGTTGGGGCACTGGTCAGAGGTCGCTAAGGAGTTGCCAGCAGCACTCGAGGCATCTGCATCGACAATGTAGACGTCGCCGTAAGAAGCATTGGGACCCAGATAGCCGCGAGCGAAGAGTCTATGGACCGCGTTAACCACTATACCCAAAGTAGAGCAACTTGCCTACCTCGCAGAATCAATCGTTCGCTGATAGTCGTTCGCCCACAGCAAGAAAGGAGTGTTATCCTTGTAGAAAGTCGGATACCGGAATCGCAAATCGGCACCAAGGTTGTATCTATATCATGTGAGCGACCAAGCAACCCTTTGGGCGAACGATTGACTTGCAGCTCCTTATAACCAGTAATGGACAACTGACTAATCTCTTGGTCGGGGTGCCTCAGCACTGGACTCCAGTCAGAGATGAAGCTCAGCGACCCGGTAGCGCGATACTCGGCAGATTGAAACTGAATGATATTTTGCGATTAATTAGGAGCACAGAAATCCATGGTTGAGAGCATACCGCTTTGTGGAGACCCTCCCATTCCTGGTAGGCACCAGGGTCAGGATATCTGCTGCCATGACGGACAACATAAACAGCCTGGTCCACGGAGCATTCTTCGGGGACAGTAGATGCAATCTTATTAACGTTAGGCCCTGGACACGTCAGATGACTATTTCATGACGATATAGGTGTAGAAGCCTACCCGCAAACCAAGGAGAATTAGCACCTAAATGCTCTAAAGGTTCGAACGCCCTGGCTGAGGCCGCAGAGCTCAGACCCAGCAACCACAAGGTTCTAAGTGTCACACCCATTGTTCCGTAGGTAGTCACAAATTGGGAGAAGAACTGTTGGGTTCAATGAGAATACATCGTGAAAGGGTAGTTCAAAGCTGCCGGCCAGTCTGATTTATATGGCTTGATGGCAACCACGCGGTTAATTCAGGGGACGGTGTAGAACAAATCAAAAAGCCATGACCACGCCAGGTCTCCACAGTAGCTCGGTCGCAAATTGATCGAGAAATATAACCGATGTTCTAGTCCAAGGGACTAAAGGATAAGAAGGAGAGCGACCGTTCCGCTCAACAGCCGCGGATCGGCCACGTGTATCAACGCTAAGATAAACCGTCACAAAATCCATATTACTCGCAAGATTGTTCATTTACCAAGTCAAAGGAAACATTCTTGAGTGATGCGATACTAAGCCGAGCAAACAACCATGGACCAATACGCTATCCTATGTCTGGAAAATCCACCGAGGGTCTTTATCTCCTTGGAATTCACCTTCCGAATTTCCAATATCACCCATTAGCGCCTGTAATCCTTCTCTTTCCCTGACTTCCGCTTTCCGGATATTCTCGTGCCTTAGAACTTGCCATAGAATGCCTACAACGATAATGTTCGCAACGAGATATCCCAACGAGAATCCATGGCCGAGATAATAACGGGGGCTCGTCTCGGTTCTATAGAGCTGCGTTCCTAGGACGGCTCCAAGGTTCCCAATGGAAATCTGCATTGCGTTGGCAATCGCCCGCTTTGTTTGTCCGGACACATTGTTGGCCGGCCACGAGAGCACAATAGCCACTGCGGGATAGATCCCGGCTGCGGCAAAGATAGTTCCCACATAGGATACCCCCGGCCGGTGGTCCGTCAGAAGGATGATATAACCGATACAAGCGAGTGCAGTAGATCCCATGATGAACGGCGCCCGACGACGGGTGCGCTCTGAAAGGACGGCAACAGTAATCATGAGAACGAATGCCACAGCGTAGGGGGGTACGGAGAGAAGCTGGGCTTCAGCGGCTGTGTACCCTAGCTCTTTGATAATAGTAGGCTGCTTGTTGTCAGCAAATCATGCGAACTGGGACTGTTCCATGAGTCCTCACCAGAAAAAGAGACAGTGTATACATTGGAAGGGACATTGTGTGGAAACCAAGCCCGTATAGCCAGACCTTCGGATCCTTGAATGCATCGAAAACCCCTGACCAGGTGAACTTCTCGTCCCGCATCGAGTCATTGTCGTTTCTCAGGCGAAATTGAATAAATGCCCTCTCTTTTTCTGACAGAAATTCCGCTGTGGAAGGGTAGTTATAGACCCAAAAGTAAGCAATGACGGACATGACAACTGTTGCCAGCCCTTCCTAAGCCAGAGTAAGCTGATAATAGTTTTAGCGTGGAGAAGAGGACGTAAATACATACCAGGATGAAGATCCACCTCCATCCATTATATCCACCAACACCTCGCATATGTCCGATTCCCTAGACGATAGTCAGTGTGTTGTAGTTTGGGTGTCCACTTTGAGAGACATACCCAAGCCAGGACTCCACCAAAAGCACCAGCTAGCGACGCAGCGCTGAAGAACAATGCTACCCGATAGTGCTGTTCATTCCTCTTGTACCACATAGATAAGTAAAACACAACTCCAGGGAAAAGCCCACTTTCTGCAATGCCAAGGGCTATCGTCGGAAGAAGCCTTCCGGTATCCGTGGATCAAGAGATCCAACGAACCGGCAAGACATCCAAACCATCAGTATTTCTTCTGACTGGTTGCTGTGAGCTAGGCATACCTGTCCGTGAAACCAAGTAACCGGCATAATTCTGCACGACACCAAGAAGGGTAGCAACAATACCCCAGACCAATGTGAGCGTGGGAAGCCAGATCCGTGGCGTGGTCCTCTTCAATACAATGTTGCAGGGAATCTCAAATAGCACATAACCAATGAAGTATAAGGTCAACCCCGTTAAGTACTGGTTCCCAGCTATGTGCGTCAATCACCGTCAGTGAAGCTTTCTTCCAATGGTTCGTTTCGGTGGTCCGTACTCATGTTGATATCAGTCGTCAAGCCTTCAAGGCGGGCATTGCCAACTATGCGGGAGAATAATTAGAATGAGCCCATTTTGCTTCATAAGAAAGGTTTATACCATTGCTACGATCTAGAAATGACAAGAGATACAGTATCGTTAATGGTGGAAGGAGTCGCATATCCAGTTTCCGTAGCAGGGCCTTTTCGTTGATGCCATTATGTTCATCAGCAAGTGTGCTCGCCGCAGGGGAAACGATCTTTGCTTTTTCGGGGGAGGAAGTAATCTCTACTTCCTTATTGGACTCTGTCATGGTTCAGGTGGCCGTCGTAAACTGAATGACCGTACTGAAGGAACCCGTAGTTAGGGTCAACGCTGAGAGACTACAGAATCTAAGACCAGGCAAGGGTCGGTTATTTAAAATCAGCAAAATGTTTGGGGTACTACATGGCAGACAGCACATCATCGCCCCAGCATTTCACGCGATGAACGCAGCAAATGACATATAGTCGCAGGGTCAAGACCACTACTTTCTCTCCCGCAGGCGGGTTGATCTTGCAGTGTATAGAAAGCGTAGGCCCGCTAATCAGCAAATCAGAATTGCCGATAGCCTTGGCACGGGCCAGACTTTGATAAAAAGCGGTGGTCCCGAGGAGGGAGTGCAGCCAGCGTTTTGTACATCGCATGGGTGATGGATGAGCAATTGGGGCGCCGCGATGGCGACATTGGAGACAGCCGGAGCTAATGAGGAAAGATCTTCCATGGCAGGAAAGCTATATACCGAGTAGTTTCTGCCTTTGAGAAATTGTGTCATTGGGCGTGGGGGTTATATCCCACAGCTGGGCATCTTTCCGCTTGCTTAAACAGCATTTTGTATTCCAAGATATTGCTGAAGGTGATAAGGGCATAATAGATCGCGCCATCAGCCTGCAGATGAAGTGATCCCGAAGTTTATTCGTTCCAGCAACTTATTCTCTATCGACCATCCCAAAAGCAGAGTCATTGGAATGGTGTTTTTTTTTTTTTAGCTTAGTTGATTGATATAGATGGTTGCCTTATTCAGCTGGGATAATTTTTGATTTATTGTGAGCCCTGGAAAGTCGCTGAAAGCCACGGTCCTAAGTAAAGGAGAGAGAGGGGGAAAAAAGAGAACATTAGGTAATAAGGCCTGGCCATCATTGAAGAAGTCAAGATCATGAATAAATTGAGATCCAGATGAGGCCATCTGGATTATATCAGTGTATTGTCGTATCCAAGGGTATATGTAGTAGTAGTCATGTCGTGCCTCGCAGGCATATCGGGGTATCAGGTATCCAGGCATCCATGCCACTTGCCGTTTCCGTTCCAGTCCCATACCCCAACCAAACCCAACGCCGTAGGAAAAAAAAAAAAGAAGAAAAAAACCAGATATTCCATCCCAGACCACCCAAAACAAGGAGAAAAACGTAGAGAAAGGAGAGATAGAGAGAAGAAAAGAGAAAGAGAAGAAGAAGAACAGAGAAGAAAAAGAAAAGAGAAGAAAAGAAAACACGCCGGTCACCAAAAGAAAAAGAAAAAGAAACGCAACACACACCACACACAACACAAAACACACACCACACGTAAACATCACACAAAACACACAACACACAATACACAATACATCATACATAACACACAACGAAATCGTCATGTTCATAAAAGGGAATTCATCTAATCTATCATGCGGGCGGTTTCTAAGAAGCCTACGCGGTATTCTGTAATGACACTGCATAACTTTTGGTGACACATGCTTGAAAAGGAAACAAAACGCAAGCAAAAGAATTAACGAGGTCGCCTTCCACAACAGGAAAAGTATGGAGTTCATACGGCTCCCTCTTAAGTAAAGTAAATGACCTAAGGCGCCAGAATCAATGCAAGCAAAGCCATGCGACAGTAGAGGCCATATCTCATCTGTAGATCCAAAGTTAGCACGGACTTGTCCAATAACAAGCACCAAGGGGAGACCAACCTGTCTGAAATAAGCTGCCCGCTGGTCGAAGTCAACCTCCTCCGCAATCTCCGCATTTCTGGGCAAGGGGTGCATCACAACCATGTGGCTCTTGGCATGCTTGAGAAGAGCATTGTCAATGACGAAGCTGTTCTTGAGACGCTCATACTGCTCCAAATCGGCGAAACGTTCCTTCTGCACCCGTGTAGAGTACAGAACATCGGAACGGGCAACGATCTCCGGAGTCAACTCTTCGGACTCCACAACCAGCTGGCCAGAAGCAATAACTTGCTGACGAACCTCTTCCGGCAAGGACAAATCCTTGGGGGCGACAAGCTGCACCCGCACGTCGTAGAACTGGAGCAGCTTAATGAGAGAATGGACGGTACGGCCATATCTCAGATCACCAGTAAAGGTAATCGTCAAGCCAGTGACAGTTCCCAATTCTTCACGGATAGTGAAGAGATCAAGGAATGCCTGGGTGGGGTGTTCAACGCTTCCATTTCCACCGTTGAGAACGGGAACTGGGGAGAACTTGGCAGCAATTTCAGTGCTGGCCGGGTCCGGATGACGGAGAACGACAGCGTCTCCGTAGCAGCCGAGGGTCCGGAGGGTATCTTGCAAGGTCTCACCCTTCTTTGTCGAAGAATGCTCCGTGGAGATGGCAATGGTACGTCCTCCAAGACGCTGCATAGCAGCGTCAAAGGAAGCCGACGTTCTGGTCGAAGGCTCATAGAAGAGGGTGCAGAGAACACGGCCCTTCAGAACATCGAGGACGCCCTGACGTTGAACCCCGAGACGCATTTCTTGGGCCACAGTGAAGAGCAAGTGCAGGTCGGCACGGGTGAACTGGCCGACAGAGAGTACGTGCTTCTGTCTGAAAGTTGACCGAGAGAGCATCTCATGCAGAGGAGAAGAAGATTGTGAGACGGCAGGATACAAGGGAGGTCCGAGTTCACCGACAGCTGGGGCTTGATCCAAGGCCCGGCGTGAGGGGCGAGCGGGAGTTCCCGCAACTGACAACCGTCCATCAATACCCTCAGG